ACAGTCCTCTGACCGCTGCTGAAGCTGAGGCAGGCGGCATTACACAGTCCTCTGACCGCTGCTGAAGCTGAGGCAGGCGGCATTACACACAGTCCTCTGACCGCTGCTGAAGCTGAGGCAGGCGGCATTACACAGTCCTCCGACCGCTGCTGAAGCTGAGGCAGGCGGCATTACACAGTCCTCTGACCGCTGCTGAAGCTGAGGCAGGCGGCATTACACAGTCCTCTGACCGCTGCTGAAGCTGAGGCAGGCGGCATTACACAGTCCTCTGACCGCTGCTGAAGCTGAGGCAGGCGGCATTACACACAGTCCTCTGACCGCTGCTGAAGCTGAGGCAGGCGGCATTACACACAGTCCTCTGACCGCTGCTGAAGCTGAGGCAGGCGGCATTACACAGTCCTCTGACCGCTGCTGAAGCTGAGGCAGGCGGCATTAACAGTCCTCTGACCGCTGCTGAAGCTGAGGCAGGCGGCATTACACAGTCCTCTGACCGCTGCTGAAGCTGAGGCAGGCGGCATTACACACAGTCCTCTGACCGCTGCTGAAGCCGAGGCAGGCGGCATTACACAGTCCTCTGACCGCTGCTGAAGCTGAGGCAGGCGGCATTACACAGTCCTCTGACCGCTGCTGAAGCTGAGGCAGGCGGCATTACACAGTCCTCTGACCGCTGCTGAAGCTGAGGCAGGCGGCATTACACCAGTCCTCTGACCGCTGCTGAAGCTGAGGCAGGCGGCATTACACAGTCCTCTGACCGCTGCTGAAGCCGAGGCAGGCGGCATTACACAGTCCTCTGACCGCTGCTGAAGCCGAGGCAGGCGGCATTACACAGTCCTCTGACCGCTGCTGAAGCTGAGGCAGGCGGCATTACACAGTCCTCTGACCGCTGCTGAAGCCGAGGCAGGCAGCATTACACACAATCCTCTGACCGCTGCTGAAGCCGAGGCAGGCGGCATTACACACAGTCCTCTGACCGCTGCTGAAGCTGAGGCAGGCAGCATTACACACAGTCCTCTGACCGCTGCTGAAGCCGAGGCAGGCAGCATTACACACAGTCCTCTGACCGCTGCTGAAGCCGAGGCAGGCAGCATTACGCGCCCGTCCTCTGACCGCTGCTGAAGCCGAGGCAGGCAGCATTACACACAGTCCTCCGACCGCTGCTGAAGCCGAGGCAGGCAGCATTACACACCGTCCTCGTTCAGTCTCTGCCTGGACCCTGTCCTCCGACTGCCTCTGTCAGTGCTGGCTGACTCGGCGTCCGAACAAACCCTCACCATACTCGGAGCCGCCCGAGCTGGGCGGCACGGCAGAGCGGAGCCTTACACCGGCTGGTGCGTAATGTGTGTAATGGTGCGTAATGGTGCGTAATGGTACGGCATGGATGGATGAGCGGAATGGTCACGGGTCTCGAATTTGCATGGTTCAGCTGCATCACGCATAAAAAACGTGCGCGGGCTAAGTAGCACCAAAGCTAAACGCAACCTCGCAGCTATATTCATGCACGTGCATTGCGCATCTTTTCAGTGATCATTCATGTGTGGATCAAGCGTACATTAAGACGACGCCATTGACACGCATGTCAACCGACGGAGAACGCCAGGTTGGCGAGGTTTACGCCGGGTGGACCACTCGCACAATAGCCGCAATTAACAACGCGGCAGATCTGATTGACTTCAATGCTCGTTTCAATCACTGGTGTCAAGAAACCAGTGAAGACGCAGACCGAGGCCACTAAGTCAGCCCACGTACCATGTTGGCGTCCAGGAACCTCCTCTTCTCCATCAGCTCGGGCGACTTGGCGTTGGGGTATGGGAGGCCGACCACCACCACACAGCGGCCCAGATCGTCACTGAAGTTGATGCCCTCGCTCATCTTGCCGCCTGGAACACAGCGGAGCACTAGAGCACACGGCGGAGCACTGGGGCACGATACAGCGAGGCGGCACGTACGTCTTGTGGACGACGGACCCACAAAGGGGCGTGCCCCAGGCTCCTCGATGAACGCGTTGTTTTTACAGCAGCTCACACTAGCGTCAATAGAAGTTACTGTCGACGGACGCTTATCTGAGCACGCAGCATACCTCGAAGTACATGACTGGGCCGTACGGCACGCGGTCGTGCGCACAGGACGCTGGCGTGATGGAGACACGTTCAGCATCTTTACCATCAGTGGGAAGCAAAGCTTCCATTGTCACTACAACTTGACACATTAAAACAACTAACTCTTTTTCATAAAGCCTGCTGCGATATGCGCAAAAGAACACCAGTGGTGCCGGAGGCAACTTAAGCAGCTGGTTGTAAGCGCCATCCCGGGCGCACGAAGGACGGCAAGTACACATCATTTCGCGCAGGATCCCGCCATCTTGCGGCGCTACCCCACGACCTTGCGGCGTTTCCAACGCTGCAGGGGACGACCCGCGCGACATGGCGCCGTGCTCTCACCGACGACGCAGAAGAGAATGGCCCCTGTGACGACCGGCGGCCGCTGGCCGGACCTCACGGCCTGGGTGTACTCGGTCAGCACGGCGTCCGACCGGCTCGACTGGCGAGGCTCGCGGAACACCTGCCGGTAACGGGTCAGGTCAGGTCAGGTCAATACGTCTGATCAGATGGACTGGCGAGGTTCACGGAACACCTGCCGGTGCCGAGTCGGGTCGTGTCAGGTCAGGTCAGGTCAGGTCAAGTCAAGTCAAGTCAACACGTCCAACAGGCTAGACTGGCGATGCTCACAGGACACCTGCCGTGACGGGTCAGGTCAGGTCAGGTCAGGTCACGTCAGGTCAAGACGTCTGAACGAATACACTGGCGAGGATCAGGGAGGACTCCACAGGTCGCAAGTCAGGTCAGGCAGAACGTACCACGCAGCAGCAGCTGGATGCAACAAACAGCACGAGCAAGTCAAGAGGGGCCGAGTCAGTCCGGCAATACAATGAACCCAAGCCTGACACACAACAGTACAAAAGCGGATCTGGCGACACGAGGCCGGGGCGGATGGATCCCGGGGTCTAGCCATACTGCCCCGATCTACTAAAAAGATGTACGACTGTGCTCCATCCACGATGGTCCTCACAAGACAGCGCAACAGGATAATCCAATTATTCGGTAAAACGCATCGCAGACATCAAGCCAAAACGACACCATCGCAGCAAACCAGCAGCCTTGTGCCAGTACGCCCTAACTATGGCGCACGAAGCAATACCCATGTTCTGCAGCAGTACCTGTTTCCTGGCAGAGATCTTGTCCATGACGCCGGTGGAAGCGAAGTGGGCGAGCGCGGCGGCGGCGTAGTAGTCGTAGGACGGCAGGAAGCAGACGATGCCGGCCGGGATAAGCTTGCAGAGGTTCAGCAGGACGCGGCCCAGCTCGTCCAGCTGCCGGCACAGACGATGGGCATGGCGCAGGTCAGCCAGCGGCCGATACGGGCTTGGCTCCAGAGGGCGGCCCCCGGCCAGGTGTGGAGCCCTGCAGAGGTAACGGCAGCTTCATCGTCCTATGCGCACGGCTTGTGATGCTGCCCGAACTACGCGCGATCTCGGCTGCTAATGCTTCGTCGGCTCAGAACAGCTGCGAGATGCCGTCAGTAGGTCGCCGACGCGGCCGGCGACGTCAAACAATCCAGCGATAAACGTGTCGTCACAACCGGTCTTACACCGCGTCTCGGGATGCCACGCGGTCGTTCACCACTCAATGAGGTGAAAAGACACGGTCACTCCCACACTGACACGACACCAGAACAACACAGCAAACATAAAACGTCCAGTCTTAACCGTCATCCAGAGGTCAAGCTAAGCCACCACCTCTGCACGTCTGTGGCCGGCTTCAGCGAGCCCGCGGCCGCAGACGGTCGGGGCATCGTCTGCACGCCGGCGCGTTCTGACCGTGGTGCGCTGCGCGCGGCTCTGGTAGCTGAAGAGCAACTCGGCACCGGACGGGCCGGCCGCCAGCGACAGCGTTAGCAGCTGGTCGGCCGGCACCACGTGTCCGCAGGAGAAGACTGTGACGCGCTCGGGAGCGGCGCCAGCCGCCACCAGCAGCTGGTCGCGGAACTCCGACACCGGCTGCATGGTGCCGCCGGCCAGGATCACCGCGCTGAGGGGAGGGAGCGTCACCAAAGGGGGAGCCGAGCTGATCACGGCCGCCGCGCCGCGGGGGGGGGGGGGGGGGGCAGACGGGCTGCTCACCACGGTAGCGGCCTGGTGTAGGAGCTCTGACACCGGGCACACAGGGACTCCGACACAGGCAGCAACGGAGGCTCCGATGCTGGCAAAAGCACGATAGCAGACGATGGGATCCCCGGTGAACTTCGATGGCGGGAAAGATGGGAACTTTGACAATGGGACGCACGGGAAACTCCGCCACATGAAGCCAGCGGATTTCAGATAAGGGAACACCGAACACTTACGATGGCATAAACGGACTATTCTGACACCACGAGGAGATCACAACATATCACGTCAGGAAGTACGGAAAATTCTGGCGCAGGGGAACTTGCGACACTACGACGAGGTTAACTAGGAACTCTAGACACCAAGTGATCGGGACAACCAGCAACTCGGACCTTAATACCCTCTTTCACATTTCCATCCAAGAACATCATTTGCGTTGTGTATGTAGAACTTCAAACCACATGCAACACTCACCGCGCCTCTCTGACGATGCTCTGAAACTGGGCAGCCGCGTTCAGCGCCAGGTACTTGATCGATGGTGGCTCCGCCCTGGCGGTGGTAATCAGAAGCCGACAGTCCCGGTCGGGCTCCGAGAGGGCGTTGATCAGTTGAAGCGTGGCCATCAGCGGCATATCCGAGGAACGAGACTCGGTCTCCGCAGGCCCCACTGAAATGCACCAGACAATTCAAACGGACAGCTAAAACCCACTGGATTATACAGTTTAAAGAGTGGGTGTCTGTTCCACATGTGGTTGCGCTGGGTGACAGACCAGTAACACATCACCTGTGGACGCAATACATGGGGTGCATAACATGTTATGCTCGACAAGCTCAATCTGTCAAGAAAGCGTGGGACCAAGCGTAGCTTTGACACTATAAGAAAATACTAGATCACGGTACATACCCGCATTAGCAGTATTCAACGTACCACCTCAAACCAACAGACCCGTCAGGTCTGCGCTTCACACCCCACCCATTCCCATGGCGTGGGAGCCAGGGTGGTGTCTGCACGGCGGCTCACCGCGCCCTCCCAGGTTACCTGGGGCGGCGGGCGGGGCGGCGGCCGGCTGCTGCAGCTCCCGCAGGAACTGCGACACGGCCGAGCGGGCGGCCGGCGCCGTCGGCGTCACCTGCCGCCGCTTCCAGCAGCCCCGCAACTGTCGGCCGGCGCGGCGAGCATGAGCGGACGTTAACGGTCGGTGAGCGGACGGGCGTTAACGGTCGGTGAGCGGACGGGCGTTAACAGTCGGTAACCGGGCAGGCGTTAACGGTCGGTGAGAGTGGGTTAACGGACGGTGAACGGGCGGACGTTAACGGTTGGTCAGCGGGGCGGGCGTTAACGGTCGGCAAGCGGGCGGGCATTAGCGGTCGATGAGAGGGCGGACGTTAACGGTCGGTGAGAGTGGGTTAACGGACGGTGAACGGGCGGACGTTAACGGTTGGTCAGCGGGGGGGCGTTAACGGTCGGCAAGCGGGCGGGCATTAGCCGTCGGTGAGCGGGCGGGCGTTAACGGTCCATGAGCGGGCGGGCGTTAAGGATCGGCGAGCGGGCGGGCGTTAATGGTCGGTGAGCGACCGGCCGCGGCAGACCAGGCCGGTCAGAACGGATCACAGCTATCACCCTCCGTCAGTCGATTGAGGGCGAGCCAAGACAGTCCCAGTCATTCCAGCCGGGGCGCCCTAACCTGGGACCGACGGGGCAGTGTATGGTCGGCGTATCGGCGGTCAGTATGACAGTGTGAAGGTTGCTGGCAGTCAACACGATGATAGGCAACCCGACTCACAGTTCGTCTCATCCAGAACACAGCGCCACAACGGTCTCTCCGCCGGCTTTCTTAGTGGCAGCATCGCAGGCCAGGCGACACGCTGTTTTCGCCATCTCTGCCAGCCTGGTCTCAAACGTTCTCGCAAGCAGCCGCAGCCATCAGCCGACACCGACCTTCTGCACGAGCCGGCTCTTCTCGGCGAACAGCTGCAGCTTCCGCAGGTTCAGGTTGTCGATGCCGGCGCCGCAGAGGAAGTCGTTCAGCTGGAGGACGCGTGTCTCCTCGGCTGCGGCCGGCGGTGCCTTGCCGGTGCCGTCTGAAGGGTGTGGCGAAGGGGGAGGAGGTGCTGTTCAGTGGTGGTAATTAACACGAACGCACCCGCACGCAACTGGAAGGCGTCGAGCCATACAGATGATGAAATTTGATTATCATGATAGTTTGGGTGTGTTCGGACAAAAAGTGGATAGGAATTATGGACGGGATGACGGTCATCACCCTGAAGGTTTGGAATAATACGCACATCCATCGCTTGGTCGTGTAGCACTTAACAGACGCCAGACGATGCCGGTAACACGATCAGGCGCAGGACAATAATCGCAGAGGAAAGAAAAACTACGCGCTCTAATCGTTTTCGCAATGGCCGAAGAAAGACTGTGATAGAATATCAACACGGCATTTCACACTATCATGGCACAACACGGCATTATTAACTGACTCAACATATCATCACATGAACATGACACATTCCAACTTGTAGCCAAACCAACCTACCGACGAGCTTCAGTATGCCCTTATGGACGTGCAGCAGCTGGCGTAGGTAGAGCAGGTTCTTCGGCGAGAACCTGCTCTTATAGGTGTCTATGTAGTGGAGGAGCTGGTCACACGCGTCCGCCACCTGACACGACATTAATAGGTGTGTCATCCGGAGAGGTGACTGTATGTTATAAAATCAGGAGTCGTACACCAAACGCATATTTCTTACATGAAAATATGTGTGCAAATATGGAGACTTCGTATGCTGCGATGTTTCGTCCCAATGTGTTGATATTCGGTTACGATGCAGTCTCCTGAAAATCGTCGCGTTCTTCATTGATCTATCCGTAGCCGACAACCTGTTTAACATAAACGCGGAGTTTGGTGGTCAGTTTGTCAAGCGGTAACTCTGGCCTGACACGGAGCGCGTACGTGGACGGTCGTGCAGACGTGCGAGCTCCGGCCTGGTGACAGCTGACACTGGCCGATGACGGCCGCCAGCCGCCGGCTACTCGGCGGACGGCTGTGGGCGGCCCCGTGGACACCTCAGTCGTGACGCCTCAGCCTCGCACAGCTGTCGAACTAGATCCCACGGGGCGTGGTGCCGCATCTGACGCCGCATCAGGGACGCTGAGCGCGCTCACCTGACGCCGCGTCAGCTGGCCTTCACGCCGCCCTCGCAGCGGAACTGACTGTCCCCGCCATCCGGTCAGCGGCGCTGAGCGCGCTCACCTGACGCCGTGCCAGCTGGCAGGAGTGGATGCTGCTGATGGTCTCCAGCAGGTTGTGCGCCTCGTCCACGATCACCACGCTGCCGGCGAGCCGCAGGCCGCTGGCGGCGCGCGTGCCGCTGTGCAGTAGGTTGTTGTAGGGCACCACGACCAGCTGCGGCGGGGGAGGGGCTGGTCGGAAGCAGGCAGGAGAGGCCACGGTCGCTGCCCGCTCCACTCTAGGTCGCGGTGATCGGACAGACTCAGGTAGCTACGCGCGCGACCTCTAACCAACCCCCAAGGACCGACAGAATGGCGCATCTCTCTCGCCAGATGGTCAGACAGGAAGGCTCTGAAGCGATCAGCCGTCCGTCCATGCGTCATTGGAGATTTACGACGCAGTCAGCTGCTGAGGCTATTTGGCGTCGCCTGCCGCTCACCCTGGCAGGAAGGGCGGGCACCGCGGGGAATCGAACCCCGTTCCTCTGGTTTCCCAGACGCAATGGTTAACGCAGACGCGTTAACCGCTACACTACCGACACCCGAACAGCCGTCCGCTCGCCAACTAATCCGACCACATAGCGCTCACGCAGCACGTATGATCGACCGCTCACACACAGCGCCTTTGCCGGGAGCGCGGGGCGACACGAGGGAGTGGAGATGACCACCACTGACCTGGGCGTCCCTGACCGCTCGACGGCTGGCGTAGTAGGGGCACGCCTTTCGACGGCGACCCTCCTTCACAAGCTGCTCAATGTCGCGGACCTCTGACAGAATCTAACGGCAGTGGCCATCGCGGACAGTTAAGATGCGGACCTCTGGCAACATGACGGCAGGGATGACCACCAAGGATAGTAAGATGACAAACCTCCGACAGAATCAGACGGAAGGGACGGCCACCATGGACTGTCCAGATGACGGACTTCTGACGGAATGACGGCAGTCATCACCCTGCCAGAGTCCGACGGCAGGGATGGCCACCACGGACAGCTAAGGTGACGGTCCCTGGCGAGATCGAACGGCATCACCGGCCAACGACGTCGGCGTGCAGTCTGGTGAACATGGCAGATCTGGTTGCGGCTACAGCATGACAACACAGCTGACCGAAGCTCCAGGCACGCCCCGGGGCTCTCACCTCCGTCGCCAGGTCGTCCACGCGCCGTTTATAGGGGCACGCTCCCGTCGCCTTTTGCTTCTTCTGGGAGCGGCCGTCCTCCTTCGAAACTTTGGTGGTCTTGCTGGTGGATTTCTGCTGCATATCCAAACAGCTGGAGACAGACATACGGAGTAAGACGCACGGGTCCCTCCGAGAGTGCAATTTACAGAGCCGATGTATTATTCCTTTGTGCAACCTCACGACACATGGCACACAAACACAACTTCATTTGCGTGTAGGGTGATTAAACAAACGTGATAGGTACGCACAAGCCTAACTGCCAGTATTTTGTGGCGTCCCACCAAAAGTATCCAGCATTTATCTTCTTTCTGAACCCGCAGCAGGGAGTTCCCTGTCTTTGTTCCCAGCCTTCCGACATCTCCAGATCACCCACCCTTCTCCCCCTACTCCGCGTACAACCACCCAGAATCCATGGACCTCACACCAAAAACACACCAACTACGCCACAGCGGCGAGCAACCACGGACCTCGGACCTCGGGCCGCCACCTCCACCCCACTCACGCCTGGTTGACGAGGCCGAGGCTGCCGAGCCGGCGCACCGCGTCGTTGATGCAGAGCTGCGGACGCGACGCCAGCGCCGCCACGCGGACGTGCCCGGCGTGAGGCGAGCGGCGCACCTCGCCCACAAACTGGCTCAACTGCGAGTGCGTGCGGCTCGTGTAGATGATCTGGAATCGATGACGTCCGTCACCGACCACGCCCAACGCTAGGACTGTGGCGAGCATTCTTACAGATGGCTTGCGCATGGTAATACCAAACATTCCAGCATGACAAACTGCATTACCAAGGATGCCGAGATGGACTGAACTGAACAACACCATTGCGCTGACATATCATGATGTAGCAGTGAGCAGTTTATACCATTCAGTGATTGCTGAATTGCAAGATATCACACTGTATGGAACAGTAAGCTTGGAAACAGCTACCGACGCTGGGACGTGTGGGCTTCCGTACCGACTGCGAGGGCGAACAACACGAGGGCATCAAAAAGGCATCAACGAGGGCATCAACGAGGGCATCAAAGTAGCGCGGAGCTTGCAACAAACATGTCAGCAGACACGCACACGCTCGACTGGCCCGATAGGGGCCTCCCGAACGGCGACGTGCCGCACCTGCGTGCCGTGGTACGCCTCCTCGTCACCGTCGGCCGCCCTCGTCCGAGGACCCAGCCTCCTCGTCGCTGTGGAGGTCAGCAATCAGGTCCGCGTCGTCTCCCTGCGGCGCCGACGACGATTCCGGCTCGATGACGTCGCCAAACAGCTCGCGGAACTCGGCCTCCTGGCGGCCTCAGCTCGGGTACTCTGCGGGGGAAGTCAGAGCGTGAGAGCCTCACCCGAACCCAAGCGGGCTCAGCTCGGTACTCTGCGGGGGAAGTCAGAGGCGTGAGAGCCTCACCCGAACCCAAGCGGACGACATGCAGTCTTAAGCCAGGATATGCCCGTCGTTACACAGCGTGGTTCTTTCGGGAGGCTGGTCAATTGATGTCCGCAATGCCCTAAGCATACACCTGAAACAGCACCAAACCTCAGCCTCAGTATGACTTGGAAACTGGAAGACTATTTTCCTGGGTTTTGTTGCTTTAAGCAAATAATGCTTGCCACATTACCACATCAACGACGAAACATCAAAAATGACACCTCTGGCCGCTCCGTCCTGCCCCTCCCCCGCCTGCCTCACCTGCGCAGGCGGGCCGGCGGCCGGGCCGGAGCGTGACGCGGGGCGCGCGCGCGTCGCAGCGCCGCCAGCCGCCGCTCGGCCAGCTGCAGCTGCTGGCGGCGCTGGCGGTCAGCCGCCTGGTCAGCCAGCCAGTCGCCGGGCTGGGCGGCGGGCGCAGCGGCCGGCGGCGGCGCGCGCAGCTCCTCCACAGCCGCCTCGGCAGCAGCCTGCTCGCGCGCCTCGTGGTTCGCGCAGCCAGCGCACGGCGCCGCAGATCAGCGCCAGGGACTTGCCCTGGGAGAGGGGAGGGTCAAGCTGAGTTGACGTAGTGGGATGTGGGTGCTGCCAGACTTGGGTCTATGGCTGGAATACTGGGGAAGGCAAAGGAGTAGTGATTGGATGAGGAGTGGAGGCCAGACCAGGGTCTTGCTATACTTATCAGGAGATGGAAAGATCAGCTTCAATAACATGTGCAAAAACTGCATCAACTTTTTCTGCATTCAAGCTGCCTGATGCTGGTTCTGGATGAAGACAGATGCATCTGAGATAAATATACTAAATTGGTCATTATGAGCTTAGATGCAAATGGTACTGCACAACATGATGCCTTACAGCACAAAAGTATCACTATGTGCAAATTATGCCAGAGAATGCAAACTTTACAGTGCCTGTAGGGCTTTCAAAAATTCCATGCTTTTTCTCCTCCAAGGCCCAGTATAATGTTTTCATAAACTCTTCTTGAGCCTTGTATGGTGGAAATGGAAATTCAAATATCTCAGGTGGCTCCATTTCTTGCACTGAAGAATATTCTGAGTTGATATCTGAAATGTTCATTTCATACAGGCATAAGCCTTGTGCTTTTCCAAGCAGGCAAATTCATCTCATATTAAGTTGCAATCATCATAAAGAAAACCTTTGAAGTTTTGATTTACATTTTTAGGCATTGGGCTTTACATCAGATGCATCCATGCCATTCTTATAAATATCATTTGTGGACAGTGTGGGAAACTGATACAAGCAGCATGAGAATAAGAAGTCTTGGCATATAATGACTAGCATTTGTATAACACACTTTCAACAGAAGGTACTAATATTAAGTACTTTGCTTGCCCCAAAAAGCTTTTCATAAATGTCTCAGTACCTGCCAGCTAAGTACTTAAGGAGGCAGACACAGTTGATTTTTTGTTTTAACATAAATTTTGTGATCCACTTGCCAGACTACAGCTGGCACGGATACCTTCGGATCAATCTACAGCATAGTTTGACTTCGGCTGCTGTGATTGTGTCATATCATTGCAATAAGGTACTCTTAGAGGAATATGAAGGTGTTAACAGAATTAATAAATGTCTGTTATATGTACTGATGACAACATGGCATAGCTTATTTGTGATGTTTAGCTGATACAATTGCATTCATTCATCTTGCACCTTTATCACCTTTAAAGAACTCACTGAGAGGTGAGATATGTGCCACCTAATCTAGTCCATTACCAGCATGTTACACATGACATAAATCAAGTATGAAATGCTGCACAAATGAGGGTTTTCTAATAACCTTTTATTTTTAAGAATGACATGAATGCAACACAACTAGCATTCATCTCAAAAAAGTTCCACTTAAAAACATCGCAGGAAACACAAGCGAACATCATGGAACATGTGGTGGCCAGATATCACCAATCCCAGAACGGCTCATGCGATTGCATTCTGGCTTTCGATTGCCGTTTAAAGAAACCTTTTCAGCGGTTCTGTGGTTTGGACTTGGCTGCCCGAATACCCGTGTAGCAGCACTACCCTAGCGGAATACTGTCCTCACGAATCAGCTCGTTTCCCGCCACCAGATTTGCAACTACCGCGCGAACCAACTTCCGCAAGCTTCGGCTTCGGGACAAAAAGGCAGGCCAAATATGTTGACAACGCCGTACCTTGAGTTTTTGGCTCCGATCGACGCTAAACCTTCGCCATTTGAGGCCAGTTGGACAATAATCTTGCCTCTCCAGAATATGGTGATCTTGGGTCAGCTGAGAGGTCACCAAAAATACAAAAAACCGGAAAAGTAAGGGCGTAAACATTCCTGCGCTCTAAACCCACGGCACCGATCAACATAGAACACCCACCAATCGATGTGCCATAGCCGACATCCTATCCTTTCAGTATATGGTATCTTAGTCTAGTCAAAGTTCACCTAAAATTCCCAAAACCACCAAATTTGGCTGCAGTCGAACCCATGCTACAAGCCTGTGGGACCGATCCGTATGAACCCTTCAGCAATCGATGTGCCAAATACGTTAAGATATCGACTATGGCATATCCATTGCTTTCATGCTGATGGATCCCATAGGTGCGGAGCATTGGGTTGTCCGCAGCCAATTCTGGCGGTGTTGGACGCTTTTGACGTGACCCAAGGTCACCATATTCTAGAGAGGAGAGAGTACCGAACAAGCGACATCGAATGAAAGGCTCGGAGCTTGGGTTGTCGGCAGGTTTGGTCGGCCGTTTAGTGCTTCGCTTCGGCTTCGCTTCAATTAAAAACAAAACTGCGATAAAATGAGAGTATGAGGCCTCAAAGCCCGGGCGCGCAGTATTCGAGATGAGCACCCCTTTACACATACGAACCCCGACCGCCTCGCACAATTTGGTGCCGAGAACGGCAATATCTGGGAAAAACCGTTACAATAACGTATAAGGTTACTTGCTCCTTACCTGCTGGTTATCTGCTCTCGGGCAACGGCAAAGCAAGGAATCAGAAAGTCATCTGAAATCCCCAAACACAAAACAAAATCTGATGAGATATTGTCTGCTGTGCAAGGATAGGTCGCTCCTTACGCCAAGTGCCTCATGCACTAATGAAGAATTGTGACCGCGCCAGTCGCAGAAATAATGCAGCAACATCAAGGACATCTAGGCGGGCCCATGGTTTTTTGAGAAATGGAAACAAGATCTAGAGAAGAGAGAAGCAAACCCTTCCCAATCTGGTTTGAGAATTTCCCTGGCATAGCGGCTGATACGCGTTTTTCGTACGTATTGTTTGTGTTTCGTACGTAGTTCTCCAATTTCAATGCTCGACTGAAAGTTTAGTGTATCGCTTCATTCGGTAGATGTAAATTCGGGGCTGGAGGCTATTGCCCCCCAAAAGATATGGGAACTGTTGGCAAAAATAGATGTGAAACGCGGAATTGATATGGCATGCTCGTCCGAAACAAGATATTGGTGACAGCATACGACCACACTAATTCGTTACCCAGGGGCGCTGCTCCGCTTAGTGAGAGTGGGGGGGGGGATTGAGCTGCCAAAAATTATGAAACCTAAATCCGAGATCTGCCAAAAACGGCTTCTTCCTGGATTTGAACTACTTTCCTCTCAAAGCTTAGAGGACTATAGCCTGAGTTGGCGTGTGGGGGGGGGGGGGGGGTAATCTCCAACTGCTTGAACTGATAACAAAACCATATACCTAACATTAACCCCCAAGCTTTTCAGCACGCTTTTAGGATGATTAAAAACCTGGTGAGTTATTATGGGGAAAAAAACTTCGACCTCGCCAGTAACGCTTCACCGAACGTCAATCTGCTCAGACAAATGTTCTTGCGGTTGTATTGCGATTGGATGACGTGCGCACAACATGCTGCTGCCCCGTTCCCAGGCAATCATTATGGTGAAGATCGACAACAAAGGCCCGGCCGACCGGCCTTGAGAAACGAGGCGGATTATCGGCACCACGCGACAGCACTCGGCAACCGGCGAACAGCACAACTAACAGAGGATATGGGTCGAAAACGACAGCAATCAGTGCCGCCCTGAGGCATTGTACAAATACGCACTCGCCTACAGCCGCCGGCGCCTGCGGACTACGGACGGCGAGGCGGAGAGGCCGCTCAGACAGCGTGCCAGCCCGCGGCAGCCACACGGCCGGCGCGGCGCGTTCGGTGGGGCGGCGCCGCGCGCCCGCCGCGACTCCACGCCCTGCGGGACCGGCGGAGCACTGCAACACGCGACGGCGGCGGCGACGGCGCAGGCGTTACGGACCCCGAGCGCGTAGCTCGCGCCCGACCAGTGTTCCTGGGGTCGAGCGCGCTCCACTATCTGGCGCCGCCGGTGTCCGGCTCGGGCTCGCCGTCGGCGGCCTCCTGCTCCGACTCGTCCCTCTGCCGCCGCTTCTTGGCGCGTATGTCGGCTAGGGTCTCCTCGATGGACCGCTTGTCGGTCTTCAGCGAGCTCGACACTGGCGGCGAGCACGGACACACGCCGGTTAAAGGACGGGCACTTCATCACGGAAAGGGACTGCACTATACGTGAATTGCATATTTAATATGGGACATATTTCCCATCTCCATGTTGTCCAATCTGATGCAACGGCTTTGTGGTGATCGTCAGACCGACACAACACAACAAAAAGGGTCCGGTATTTGAGCGGCACACCCCTGTGCCATACCACTGTACCACACCCCTGAATGGCAAACCTTTGTGCCATACATCTGAATGTCACACCTCTGAATGTAATATCTCTGAATGACAGATATCCGTACCATACCTCTGAAAGGCATGCATCTGTGCCATATCCATGAATGTCATTAGTGGGATGGCATATCTCTGAATGTCATACCTTTGAAACCAATGCCTCTGTGTCTTACCTATGTGTCATACCTCTGTGTTATACCTCTGTGGCATACCTCTGTATCATACCTCTCATCGCTGAGACGCAAGACAAAAATCGCTCAGGCCCGCAAGTCCACGTGGTATCTTCTCCACCAGCTCAGCACATGATAAAAGCACGGGATGCCTGGTCCCCTTGCCTTAATTTTTTACACCGCATTCGGTCAAACGTCTGCAGTTTGGCAGCGCTCGGCGTGGCCGGCGCGGTCGTACTCACCAACACCAAACGACGAGTTGACGGCGGCGCGCTGCGCAGAGTCGTCGGCGAACAGGTGCTGTCGCTTCTGCAGGAAGGCGGCGGGCGGCGGCGGTGGCGCCTTCTTGCCGCGTCGCTGCCGCTGCTCCTGCTCCGCCAGCTGCTCGGCCAGGTCACGCTGTGGGCACATGGGGTCACGGGGGTCACGCGTCTGGTCCCAGGTCGCGTGGACCCCGGCGAGAAGCGGACGCATTCGCCCTGAGCGTGGTCTCTAGCGACAGCTGTCTGGTGATCCGCACGCAGTTGGGTTTGATTCTTTACCTGTTTATCTTACTGGCCTTACTGTGGCATTGTTGTAAGAAATCGCCCGAATCTGACTTAGCCGTTAGCAGCCGCAAACGTCGACTAACGCTGTCACGATATTAAAATCCGCACTAGCAAAATAGCTGTTGGTATCGTGCAGTCTCACACGGCAAATGGGATCACAATAAATTCCATCATCTGCTCAGACAACTTCTAATGAATTTCCGTGCCCCTGGCTTCAATAAAAACAAAATTTTGCACCCCAGATTGTGATCTTCAAGGAATTGGGCGTACCGCAAGGCTAAAAATACTCAACCAGGTTACTGCGAATGATGTTGATTCACAAAACATTCTTATCGCCGGTCCATCGATAGCTACGCTGCAATACTTAGGCAACTTTTGTTTCGAAGTTTTTGACAAGGCGACAAAGCACAAACTTGGTATGTTTTAAGGGTGTAGGAAACGTGCACATCAGTACTGCGTGCAACGAAAGCTGATGGCAGGGTCCAGATCAGTCAAACCTTGCCAGTTCCAATCTGAACCGAGCGCATCTGAACTGGCACCATCACTGTGCCGGTCCCAGAATTTGGGCAAATCTACAACTCTAAGTCAAAACACCACAGAGGTTCGGCGAGTCGAACCCTACATTACTTGCCATTACTACATTACTTGCCAAAAATTTCACCGTTGTTCTGCACCGGTCACCACGCAGAAGAACAAAAAAAAAACTGGTCACAAATTGCAAGGATTGTGGTTTACTAAACTTCAAAAAACACACACACTTGCACAGCTGGCTGGGCGGGCCCGTTCTCGTCCGACATCGGCTTACCCCCCCCCCCCCCCCCCCCGCCGCCTGGGCGACGCCACACACCTGGAACGCCTCCTCCTTGGCCCGGGCCGGGTCGTACTCCTCGCCGCGCCGCAGAGCGGCCACCTCCTCGGCCGCCAGCTCGTACTCCTTCTTGAACAGCATGATGTGCCGGTCGACGCCCTCCTCGCCGAACGCGTGACACACGAGGCCCGCCACCTCGGCCACATCGTGGCTGCCGGTCAGCAAAGCACAGGTCATCTGGCCGTGGTCATCCAGCCTGCGATCCCACATGAGAACGAGTCCGCGGTGTGGGCTAAAGGGATGAATCCCTCTACGAGAACGAGACCGCTGTGTGTGCTAAAGGGATGCCACCGCCGCGATTAATCCTCTGTTTGGCCACGTACAGAAAAAAGGAAGAGCAGTCCTCCCAGACCATATCGAACTTCTTTTCGCCGCTCCCCGCTGGAGTATTTATGTAGCGTGTCCATATGGCAGCGCTCCAGGCCACAATTGTGCAGAACGGCGAGCAGAAGCAAGGAAAGCGGAGTAGCAGTATCTTCGTTGTGCTACCTGCTCACGCGGAAAGTCGGTTGATCAAGCTATCGTGTTCCCCTCAACTTAGAAATACTAAAGCTGTAAATCATGCTTTTTATGCTCAATCCTTTTGCACTAGTAGCAGCTACTTAAGTGATGTGAGTGGAGACACCCAGCTACAAGAACATTGCAAAATATCACATGACAAACCATAAATATGGCACGTCATACAGAGATGACATGGTACTGTTTGAAAAAGTGCCAGAAGCCTAATAACTGACTTATAAGCCCATTAACTGCATATATGGGTTTATTTGTATCCATCTACCAATGGAATGAAAAAAACATATGTTGCATGCTCACAGTATGCTCCTTTGGACTTCATTCATTGGTGGAAACTGCTTCTTCAGTAACACATCATCTTTCATGAACTTCTGTACTTCCATTTCAGCCTGCAACAAATGAAGTTCCATCAATTTTAGTAGAAACTACAGCAAGTTGTTACATGCACTTGTGAGGAATGTTATGCACGTAGATGAGGCAGTAGTAATGGCCTTCTTCCCTGGTGAAAAAACAGGAGTATGGAGATATAGAATGGCCTTCTGTTATTCACTTCTATAGGCATGTTGCCAAAATATCACCACATCTATATCTCTATTCTCCTGGTTTTTTTTTCTGAGGAATAAGGACATCCCTATTACCTTATCTATCACGAGTAAAGCAGATGATGTGCTCAAAGCCAGCTAAGCAGTCAACTAGTACTTGAACTCACAGTACTGGAGGCTTCTTGCTAACCCTCCAGATCAGGTTGACCATGTCAATCTCAAGCATGAAGTAAAAAATGCATCCAATTACTCATGCAAATGCATTCTGAATCAAACTGGGTGCCCAATGGCCTGGGGATGATAAAAGGACAAATAAGCTTATGTTAGGTGAATAATTGGCCTAGTTTACCTAACACAAGAGTCTGATCTACTAACAGTGCCTTGAGAGGGCTGCAGACTTGATACCCTTGATTGGACAAGGCAAAATATGCAATCAATGCATGATACTCTTTTACCAAGTTTGACAGTGGCCCCCTGATATCTGAATCACCAAAGGTCCAAAAACTGGAGGAATTTGCATCTTAGAAAAACAGTTCTATCAATAGCAATCATGTCAACATTTGACTCCTGGGATTTCAGACCAAGGCTCATATCTTTCAAAAATGAAGAAATAGTCACCATTCAGCAATACTGTTTGTCAAATAACAAGACAGATGGAAGCACAATATGAGCCACTAACACAACAACACACACCACAACATATACATACAACATACCAGGAGAAAACACCCTGCATACCTCTTTGCGAAACTTCAGGAGCATTTCCTTTTCTTTTTCTTTCAGTTTCTTTGCTTCCTCTATTTGTTTCTTCTTTGCTTCCCTCTGTGCTTGGGTAGTTGTTACTGGAGGCTTCTCCATCTTACTCATTATAGACCCCAACAGGTCCATGTTTGAACTTTGATGTGAAGAACAGGCCTGTTTCAGAGGCTGACCCTAATCTCCTGAAATCAAACTTTGTAGAGTAAGGAGGCAACAATGCTGATTTACACTGCTGGCAACAGGCCAAATAGGTTAATAATAACATGAAGTGCTCCAAAGCCAAACTTACTAGAATAGCATGATTACAATAAAAATCACAGTGCTGGCTGGTGACAAGAGCTGTCAGATTCAGTGCCCATTGTCTTTTCACTTCAATCAATGTGAGCAATTGCATTTTCAGGTACAACACAGGTCTGAGCCAAATAATTCAAAAAATGAATTGATCAACATACTTAAACTCCAAACAATACACATAAATGCCCATAACTGTGGCATTTGAAACAGAGCACAATTGGGCAAGTGGGGTCACAACATTAATAAAAGATGTGATAAATTAAATAGCCACTTGTTTGGTTCCATATCCTAATGAAAAGCGTATTGTTATTGAACAGGAAGATAGCTTTACTTCTTAGCAGCAGAAGAAAATAACTGTATCATACTTCCATCATAACAGTGAGGCATAAGCTACATACAGCTTTCAATCATCACACTTGCTTTCAAGCCTCATGAGAGCATTGTATAAGTGGCTAGTCCCTTTGTGGCTTATTGCATTGCATACAAATTACAACCCATGTTCACTTAAATACGCCACCGCAGCAGTACACAGCGCAGGCGTTAAATGTTCCATTCCCCACTGATTTTAATATAAAGAGCATGTGCCAACCACCAACACAAACCGAGCTCCTGCAAACGTCCGTCTCACTCGGTTTTCTGACAGGTGTATATACGCCTATCCTTATCTTGTCTAATTATTGGACTTCCAGCCAACCAACCTACGAAGTAAATCGTTTGGTAGCGTACTGCGCAGCGTACAATAATATCTAGTAGCCTAGGTAACATCGACGACACCCTGCAAATCCTTGCATATTTCGCAGCAGCAGTATTGTCACATATGCGTTGTAATGGCAACCATATTTAGGGATGGACAAGACTTCCAGACGGTACTTGCCGATTGATTTATTGTGTTATCGTGTGTTAATGAAGTGCCATTTTTCATCAGCTTTACTTTCAGTGTTCCAACACTGTTTCGCAATCTATTGGCTGCCTTGCAACTACCCATCTCTTTCACAGCGCTAAGATCAGAGTACGCCACCTTGGCTCATGATTTCCCTGAGACCTGGACTTCTTCGGGGCTTCGAGTTTTTCTTCCCCAGTTCCTCCTCAACGGTCTCATTCTAAACACATAAAACAGCTACCTTCTCCGAAGCTCCATCTTGGACACTCCAGTGTTTCACTAAGTCATGAACGGTGGACACTGAGTGCATGTAGATGTTATTGTCTCGCGTGCTCTCACCTTCACATATGCATTGATGCATGCACTTATAGACACAACGACCAATTTGCGCATAACACACTCACTCAAATTGTAAATGATGAATAGACTAGGGATCTGATCGCGCCCAAGTCGCATTGCTCGCAAGCTTAGACACACGTTTTGCGGGTGTCATAATTGTGCAGGGGGACACACGCCCAAGCAGAATCGTGCCCATGAGCGCCTTCAATCACAGACAGAATCATAACATGATTCCGTCTTCTCCCGCCGCGCGGAGGACGCTCGGTAGGGGGGGGGGGGGCGAGGGGAGTCAGCCCAGGTCTCTGAAAATGACGCTCTGTGGAACAACTGGGGTGAGTGGATAACAACCATGCTGAATAAGCCTGTGTCCCTGCTGACCTTGCCTGACTCCTCGAATCATTCAATGATCGGTTCGGGAAGGGTTCACTGGAAAATGGGACGAACGCCGGGTCAGTCTGTCACCGATCATGGGCCTGCATGCGTGGACATCGTTTTGCAAAAGCAGCCTCTTTGAGTGGGTGGCTGCACCGGTAGGATGTGGTGGGTTAAAACGCCGTCTTCTCTCGCATCGGGTCCATTTCGTTTTGGTATCCGGGAGAAAATTAAACGCTATCTCATGATTCACTTCACCTCCTTGAATTGCTTGACCTTTTTTGACCGCGATCTGAGGGGTGAGTGGCTTTTGGTCAGATTTGGGGGAGGGGAACGAGGCTAAGCTGTGACCTGAAGGGCCTCCGCCTCCTCTCCGAATAAATACGATCCGGTACCCACGCTCGCATGCCTTGGTCGCCACATATGCGGAGTCTCCACCACGCTTCATTGGTCAAGTGTTAGGGATGACATCAGTGCTTTAGTTTGGCCGTAGAACCCCGTGCGCATATCTCTTTGCCCATACCCTTATCGCTTGCCCAGCGCGACACGCCGGGCAGCCCTGCGAGGCGCGCAGTGATTGGCCCGTGGTCACGTGACGCCGTGTCGGGGTCGGGTCGCAGGGGCGCGGGGAGCGGGACTGTGCTGGCGGGGCCGGGCGAGCGCGGGCGGGCGAGATGCTGGCGTGCAGGGGCGCGGAGGCGTCAGGTTGGAAATAAATCACGAGCCGTGCCTTGTAGCCGATCTCGGCCAGGCTTGTGACATGGTGCGGGCTTACCAGGGTGGTGGTAAATTGGCCGCATTCGTTTGTCATGTCACTTTTTCGGACAAGCTCCGCGCCTACTAATGTGATGTCCGATACTAGTTTTTGCCTCTTGTTCGCTTGTTCTGATTCGCTGGCCTCTAACATTAGCAAATCATTAATTATCATCATCACCAAAATACTCAAGAGTGGATCAGGTTGAAAGCTTCAATTAGTTAGTCTGACATAGGCGATAACAAATGATGGTATACGACAGCTGAAGTACAACAAGTTAATTTATTCCGCCTTTAATATTGCCTCCCTTTTCGAAAACATTTTCATTGGCTGAGGGAATTGGCCACGACACAGTAGCGTTTGAGAATATTTGCACAATAATATATGGTGAGCATCAAAGCAAATTGTACTCTAGTGACTTCAGTGTCCGGCTCCACTGGTCGCACCGACTTTTCACATTCCCGACTTTCTTCCAACGTAACTATTTTTGCATATTCAACCATCGCGAAAAGCCTGCTGCGTCGATCATGTCTTGCGGCCGTGACGAAATCGGGAAGACGCGTGCGCAGGTGCAGGGAGAAGCCGCAGCGACTCGCACTCACGTTAGCAACGCAGGTTTGCCTGTGAGTTAGCTGACCGTCGTCGACGACCATGTCGAAAAAGCGATGGCAGATATTCAGGAGCTCATATCAAAATGCTTCGGCGCCTACCAGGGAACAACTTATGAAGCGACCAGTACCGGGCAAGGGCCGGACAGCTGCTCGCCTGCCGTTGAACAGCTCACAGAGCAGACGACATGGGCCACGATCCGCACCATCAGGCTGGTCCGCAACCACCCGCCGCATCCCAACGTTCAAGTCGACCCGGCCGCGTCGTCGTCTCCGGCGGCGACGTCCGGGCGTCAGCAGCCCGTGCCGCGCCCCACCCTCGTCACGGCACCCGCAGTCCCCTCTCGCCGGCCTCCGCGGATGACACGCAGGGTGACGCGCCGAGAAGGCCCCCGCCCGATGCGGCACAAAGGGCGCCCGCTCCCCTCGCCCGGGGGCCCATCGGCGCCGACGGCCGCGCGGGAGCTTTTGATCCTCCGGCGACGCGGGTTCGGCCCATGTTTTTGCCGGAGTACGGCCTCTGGCGCCGTTCCCCGGGCGCGCAGCCCGCGGGTTGTTCGGCACAGCTGCGCGCGGACCGGAGCAGTGAGTGTACCGCGACGTAGGGGTGTCGGGGGCCGCAAGAAGGCTTCCGACGCAATCCGGGCGCGAGGGTCGGGCGGGGCGCACGTGTGGCTGGAGCAATAACCGCCTCCGCGCGAAGACTTCGCACCAGATTTCACCCGAACGGTAGGCTTGGGCTTTGATTAAGATGTGAGGTCTTGTATGGATCCGAACGCTCACCCGAACGGTAGGCTTGGGCTATGGTTGGGATGTGAGGCCTTGTATTGGTCCGAACGGTGTTAGCGGCCGGTGCATGTCGCGTATTTCGCGATCTTGGAGCGTTTCACAATAACGCCAGAACTGGTGTATTCGCGGCATGGTACGGTCGTCTGTAGACTTGTGCTTGACTCCGAAAAGAGGTGGAGTCTACCACTAAATAGGCGAACGTGGCGATTTGGAGTCGGAGTTCCAGTGACTATAAAAGCCCGGATGAGGGGACTCAATTCGTGATCTAAATAACGAAAAGTTTTCTTACTCTGACAGCTATCACATGTGCAGCAAATTGAGCTCCGGGTGTTTTGATGGCTTACAATCAAGTAGTATTTTCAAGCCCGGCTTATGATAGTCCTAGGAGTGGTTTATACCTCAAACAATTTTACCAAACTTACAACGTCGGAATCGGTTCGTTAGGTTAGCTCCTCGTTCTTTAATGGGAATCGGGCCCGGCTCAAGATGAGATCGCGCCGCTCGGGGTCAGAGTCGGAAACAATTTTATGCATTGGGGAGTCGGAATCAGAATCGATTTCGCTGGAGTGTAATAGAGCACATGCTTGATCACCTGCTTCCATTTGCATTTTGTGCATGTCACCACGTCACAGATATATGTATGTTGTCATACATGACAGTCGCTGAAATCCACCTTGAAGGGATTCGGCTGCCCAAAAACCATTTTTGAGAAAACTTTATTGAAAGTTGCAGCATACTGACCTGGTTCATGTAACACCACTATTTTGCCGATTTCTGTCGTAATTTTGCATTTTTGCCGATATCTTTTGTTGTACTAAGTTCGCAGAAGTCTGGCCTTAAGGCATAACCCCAGCCGTAACACATCTATGCTCACATCTCTGGCGGGAGGCCAGACGAGGCGTTTTGACGAAGTCCGTGGTGTCGCAGTCGGTGGCCAAGTGCAACAGCGGCAACATTTTAATCGTCCGGTGTTTGCGGAAATTGAACAGCTCTTTTAGATATATTATTTTTTCTGCAAGCTTTATGGATGATAACTCACGGAAGCGGTGCCGGCAGCCCCACTCACCCCTGTCACGTCATCCGTAAATCAATGATATGGTTTCGCTCGGCGGAAGCTGTTCCGAACCCTGCTCCAAGTGGCTCAAGAAGTCACCATCAACAATGCATGTCTGCCTGCTTTGTAACGTTGTGCTTTTCCCCTCGGGGTACCCACCGGGTGGGCTTGATGACGTACGTCATTTTGATAGTCCACGCTGTTGGATTCAACAAACAAACCTTGTTTGACATCGTTGTCAAGCGCCTGACGTCTGACTGGCCACAACCCACTTGAATCTGTACTGTTTTTTAAACGCTGGCCGATATCATATGTATCTCTCTAATGAAGATCTGCGTCAGTTTTCCTATACCCACTGACGGTGAGGGAGCTTTGAGTTTACCAAAACGTTAACCTGGAGCTTCGGTCATAAAATGTAGCTGAATACATATATATATATATATATATATATATATATATATATATATATATATATATATCTATATATATATATATACAATATACATACATATAAGCATATACATATCAATAATGAATGATAACGCATGACATGTAGCTGATGCCATACCATTGATTATGACGGTACACGTGGGCCCAGCCCCACCCTGTATACATGCCCCTGTCTCTCGGCACCGCCCGCAGCCCACAGTCGGTCTTCGCCCACAGTCGCTGTCGTCGGTCGCCATGCTGCGCGCGCTGCTGCTGGTGGTGGTGGCGGTGGCGGTGCTTCCGCTCGGCGGCGCCGTGACCTCGTGAGTACCGCGCAAACACAGCTGGGCCGGCGCAGCTCTTCCTATCTCGGCGCGTCCCTCCAGCCCCTGGCGCCGGCTCGCGCTCAGAGATAACGGCACGGCACGCGCCGCTTTGTTGCCCGCCGATGTATGCAGAAAACGGAAAAGGCGTTAACGCGCGGAGTGCGTTAATGCGCGGTTTCCTTGCGGGTTTCTGTGTAGGAATGGATGAATTCGTTGAGCTTTGTGGAACACTAATCCCGCGTTGCTAGGAATCGGTCGACAATCCAGCAGTGGTCTAAGATGTCATCGCTCCGTGCAATAAATATTTATGATCAAAGTGTAAATATACGTTAGTATTTATCAAGTTAAATTAGGCGCAGTTTCCAATTTTAGGCATCCCAACCTGACTTTGGACGTCCTTGGGCATCATGCATGCAAGCTCCACAGCTGGACGAAGGGCCGTCTCAAGGCCCGCTGAAAGGCCTTTACCACCACACTACAATTGTAGTTATAGTGCATCAAACGACAAGCAACGTGTTGGAACGGTCCGTGGATAACATTAACTTGTGAACAAGGTGGGCGTTTGACCACCAATCTCGACGAATTCCGTGCAATTCGCATGAGCTGGCATGTCATACCGCCGTGCACCCCTCCCATGCAGCCAACCGCTAGAGGGTGTTGGGCCGCACTATCTGCTCAGTGCCGTTCCATCCAGTCCGGTCTTGGTGAGGACCCATCGTCTGCTGGGGCTCTAACCACACCAGATCACCGGTCGCGGTCAATAATCCTTGGAGCTACTGAAAACAGGACATGCTTTGCATAGTGACGCACGCGCCATGTTTGGTGCTACTTGCGATAGCTTGGTTTAGTCTAGCTCGTGCAGTGCGAGTTCGTTTACAAAACTAGGACGCGGCTGCTGTGTGTTCATGTGGAGCTGTGTTGAAGTTCGGAAATGCCTCGGGGACAAGCCGCCCGTCAGCTGGCCATGGGGCTCCCGAGCGACTGCGGTGGAGGAACGAACTGCTGATTCAGGCACGAGCAGGGCGTGCTAGCATAACGTGATGAGATTGTCAGCATATGGAAAGTTTCTGATGGCGCTGGGATGCGATCCCGCGACCGAAGCGGAAGAAGACACGTGTTCGGAGCCCGCACCAAACCGCCGCCCCCCGGAAGCCGCTCCGCCCTCGTCCGCCGCGGTCGGTGTTGATCCTCATGTCCCCGAGAGGCGACGGTTATGTGCGCCACAGACGCCGAAGGGGAGGGCTCCGGGGGCGGCGAGGGGTGACGCCGGGAGAAGAGCTCGCCCACCGGGTGTGCGATGGGAGGGACAGTCAGTCGCCAGCTGTAAATATTTATCCCCGGACGGCCGTATGGTTGCATAAACACCGTCACCAGTGAGGACAACCACCGGGCGAGCCGTTGTCTCGGGGGGTCACACTGCACGTGCCGCGAACGGCGACGCAACGATGTCGGACGCTTCGCTGTCTGTTGACCTTCACGTGGCAGCTGTTTAGAACAGGGTTTGATAGCTTCACAACGCGTGTGACGGTGGAAGGTCTTAGCACTGCAGCCCCTCACGGTTATCAAAGGACCGTCTGGAACCGACGGCGTTTTGGGCCAAGAACGGCGCGGAACTGTTGAGCTCCCGCGTCCCGGGCCATCGAAATTCGCACCTATATTGTTAAGATGGTGCGTAGTGTATGCAGTATTACTGCGATTAATATTTTCCGCGTCACTCAAAACCTCGCTTAAAGACGAATCGTTTAATGCCATGTTTGACATTTCTGGCAACAGCTTGATTGAATTCGGCTCACGGACGCGACTCTGTTTACCAAACAAAAGCGCGGCTCTGCGCGATGTCCATTTGGAACATCTTGAAGTTCTGGAGGGCGGCGACGTCCTGCATGCAAAGACCTGGTTGTGAAAATGGTTATTTCTTTACAGCGATGTCCTTTTTATGCGACGGCAAGTAAATGTTTAACATAACATTGATAATCAAGGTTGACAAAGGCTGTTGGATGATACTCCATAGATCACATTTCTGGGGTGCATATCGCGGTCAGCGAGGCCTGTAAGCCACACAAACAAGTATTTTGCGACGACCCAAACAGCATTTTAAGCACACCGCAAAAGATTCTTGTTTGATTGAGATAGATGGATTTAGGCAATCTTATAGGGCACGCCTTTGTTTAACCGAACAGATCGCAGCTGCTTTATGTTCATATAGTATATCTTTACATTCGCGATATTTTTACTGGTTTTCCTCCGAATCACCATCCGTAGTGCCGAGCGGGTTTGTATCTCCAGGAGTACAACTTCCGGTGTCATTATGCCGAGTTTCAGAGAGCTCCGCTCTAGATTCCACTATAGTGCCGCGTCCACAGTTAGTTCCGCACATTACACATTCCAATTCCATAAAAATCGAGATGCATCCTTCCAGAAATGCGAAATTACATTCCCAGTTATATCGCCCACCATGAGAACATCATCACGAAGGTGATGTCCTGTTCTCGGCTGGTCTCCTCTCTCTGCGCATGGCCGATGGCACAGAAAGAGTAAACACGTCCTAATATGTTAGGTGTTCGAGTTTTTTTCGCCATTAAACTACTGCTTTTTGGAAGCAAACCTGCGTTCCCTTCCCGCGAAAATGAGTATATCAAAACTGCTGTCGTAAGCTCAGTTTCTTGTTGCGTTTTAAAAAGCCAGGCTGAACTCATAGTCATATTAATATCATCCATCCCTCTGAAGCCCCTTTCATCGGGACTTTAGACGCGGCCGACTTCAACTGGAGCGTTTGGCTTCGCATGGGCGTCCATCTGGCAGCTCTCCAGTAGGCTCTTGACAGACGCGCCACATTCGTTTCCTTTAGCGTAAGGACCTGGTCCTCGTCAGTCTCTCAGTGTCAATCCGCTCCGGTTCGGTCATCAATCACAAACTCCTCCGTTTCATCAGCTCTACGTAACGGATAAGCAGATCATATCTTCCGGCTGTCCCCAAACGGTAACAGCACCCTGACCCCATTCGACGTCATTTATCATTCACAACGGCAGGGCAGAGTGACAGCACGCATGCTCATCACCGCCTGCATCTGCTTGCGGCGCGTAAACTTACTCCCTTTAATGGCGTCACTCGTAATAAACTTGGACAGCGTTCGTGCGCCAGGGCTCCCCTCCCGCCTGACCTCAGTTGGTTGCGCCCGCCAGTAATTTACTGCCGTCGCTGCCAAACGCCGCCTCGTGATTTACCGCCATCATCATTGGTCAGGAGGTCTGACGTCACGTGGCGGTCGCGGATCCCGCGTTTCTCTGACTGACCCGACCCGACCCGCCGGTGCTGAACAGGGGCGGACCCGGTTCCGCGTCTAACCGCTGCATCGTTTCACGTTACACTTATGCAATGCCTGGAGAGATGCAACCAAGCGAGAGGAAGTTCTGCTTCGCAAAGATCCCGGTGCGGGCATCTCAAATTTGCAAGAATATGCTGCGTCACTCCTTGCGATGTGAGCGCCTCCCTCCAAATTCGAGATGCACGTAAGAAACTCGACGAAATCTGTCCAACCCATTGCTGTCTTACTGGTCGCGTTTGTGACGATATAAACAGGCTACTCGCCGCATACCCAGTAACGCTACAAAGACCCATGTGCTGGTCCCAGGGTGTGCACTTCGAAGTAAGTCACGTGTACCCTGTTTGCACGGGCGGTCGAAGGTAGTTGGAATTGAGACCGGAATGGATTCTCCGTGACGTGACGACCGTGCCGGGACGGATGAGGGTAGCGGAGAGCAATCACGTCAGCATGGGCGGAGATGGGACGGGCTAGCTGAGGGACAGGACACATGGATCAGGAGCGGTAAATGCAGAACACGTGGATCAGAAGCGGTGGATGCAAAATACATGGATCAGCAGCGGTAGATACAGAACGCGTGCATCAGGAGCGGTGGATGCAAAACACATGGATCAGGAGCGGTAGATGCAGAACACATGGATCAGGAGCAGTAAATACAGAACACGTGGATCAGGAGTGGTAGATGCAGCAATGTGATGCGGACGCCGATATAGGGAAACAGAAACAGAAAACCTTGAAACAGGCGACGACAGGTCGGAGTCTGGCCACGTCTCTGTTACCCGGTTTACATGGGCAGCCGAGGATAATTCGAATTAAGATCGGAACGGATCATTCGACGGTTAACCCTCTCGGCGAGGGGCGTTTACATGGGGCGAAACCGGCTTTACGTCGGATTAACGGTCGATAGTTCGATCCCGCTTAGTTCGAATCAAGGAACGGATTATGGGCGAAAACTGCGCTTTTGAGGCGAACTGAACAAAACAAGAAGAAAAAAGCCGGTACTCTGCGTATGGATGGCGAATGTCACGAGCCATGGTGGGCGCGAGACAGCTTTGAGGGCGAGGAGGAAGATGGACTCCGTTGGAAAAATGATCTGTGCGGGACTCATAGGCTTTATAGCTACAGCACAAGCCATAGCACTTGAAACACAAGAGTTGCGCAGTCAGCACTGCCAAATCTGTCACATAAACAGTGTTATATGCAAATTTGACTAGCGGGAAACTTTGGCTAGCAGGAAATCAGTATTTTCTTGTATTGGCCAACGACACTCACAAACTTACCACACTCATATCAGTATGCCACCCAGCATCATGTCATCTACTTTGCGCAGCCCAAGAAACACATTACCTACTCCCACACTAATGCATTTGAGCAGCCTGCAACAGTGAGCTAAGCTACAGAAATGACTCATGAATGCTACATAGTTAGTGGCAAAAATTGTGTAACTATGTTGTCTTTCCCCATCCAATGCATCATCAGTACCTGAGGGCAGCATTGCCATTTAGACTTGGCATGGACTGGCAAGTCACAATTTGCTTTCTTGACATACTAGGGTTGAAATACTGCTTTGATATTCTTGCAGTCAACAGCATTGGCTGATATGGACTGATAGCTAGGTGGCACAAACAGCTGTGTTCGCAGAGTCCAAAGATCATAACATGTGAACCAGCCCCAGAGCTGTCATGACAAATGCAATCTGGGCTCAAAATTCATAACAAATGATTAATTATAACAACAGCTCAATTATCCACCTCATGGTTTGCAAAGATACATGTCACAAAAAAGCACCAAGGTAACATATTTACTCACCAGTACAAAAACAGGTAATGATGTGCACCACAGATGTTCTCTGCACCTCATGTGGCATTATGTTAGGTTTACTTAGTTTATGCACTGTTTTCTTCCACATGAAATGCACAAACCTGGATTTGACAGAGTACTGATGACAGCTATTTTCATCCAGTGCTCACATTTGCTTTCTTGACATTTTGGAACCATCACTGGGCAATTTTGGCCCCATCATTAAAAATAGTTCACATTCTGCACTGACTGCAATGATCTATTGCCTATATTTGTTGATCCTTTGCATCATGCAGGAATTATTGAGCTACCTATCTCACACACACTAAACCGACAAGCAACAAACAGCCTAATCGCATCAAAAACAAATATTCCAGCCCCCGCTTCCTTGCCATTTGGTCTACCAGTGTGATGTAGCTTCATATTTCCTTGATGAGCCAGTCACCAATATCCAGCACATCCCTCCTGCCAATAGGTGGTCAACCAAATGTTCAAGTCACAGGAGGAATGTCTGCAAAATCAATCCTGGGGCATTTATGTATTCACTTAATGCAAGAAACTATTGGTACTCCCTGCAAGAATTGTTGAACAGTTCAAGTACCTACCTCATGGCCTGCAGACACCCATCACAAAAAAGCACCAAGGTGACATATTTAATCATCAGTACAAAAACAGGTGATGATATGCAACACAGACATGTTCTCCATGCAGCATGCGCCATCATGTTAGGTGTTAGTTTATGCACTGTTTTCCTGCACATGGAACACACAAACTTGGATTTAGCAGAGTAATGATGACAACTATTTTCATCCAGTGTTCACATTTGCTTTCTTGCTGTTCTGACCCCGTCATTGGGCAATTTCGGTCCTACCATTAAAGAAGTTCACATTCCGAGCTGACTGCAATGATCTATATTTGTTCATCTGTCATATCATGCAGCAATTTTTAAGCTACCTTTCTCACACAAATTTAACTGACGAGCAACCAGCATCCTAATTTAAGGAACATCTGCAAAAACACTCCTGGGGCCTTTAGGTATTAACTTAATGAAAGAAACTTGGAGGCATTCTCTGCAAGAATTTTGAGCAATCCAAAAATTAAAGTGAGAACAAGTCAAAGCTATATAAAATGACCATATTACCTCCATTTGGCTTTTGGAAGCATGGAGCCTGCCCCAGATGTAAATTAATCTAACCTCTAGGCGGAAAGATAACACCAAGCACCGCCGACGCCTGCTGTCTGCATAGATCACGCGCCTAGCAAGGATAAATTACGTGAGGATTTCTGTGCTGCTAGCCACACAAGGCCCTCAATAATAAGGGTAGTTTTAGCAGCATGGTGTCAACTTCACCTTCTTTCTCTTTTCCTTTACCATCTTGGACTTGGACCGTCTCGAGCAATAGCTAAAAACCCGTGGAAAAGCGGCAACACCAAACGAAGCTGAAATGGCCATGAACAGAACTGCGTGCGCCAGGCATTTTTCTTTTTTTTTTGTTTAGACAGCTGACGGCCGATAATTCGGACGAAATCCCTTCCTGAACGGATGATCCTCTCACGGGAAGGGATTTCCTCCGGCGCACGATTCGAATCAGCGGAACGGCGCGTGAGTGTATACATGGGCCGGATAGTTCGGATCGAGGACGGGTCCCGGCTCAATTCGAATCACAGCTGCCCATGTAAACAGGGTATGTTGTGACTCGGGCTTCTGATCCTTTCCTGAGCGGATGCAGACGGAGGCGTTTCGTCTCATGGGGGAGGATTTCAGCCGGCAAGTGATTGGAGTGGGCCGAACGGCGCGGGGTTGTTTACATGGGCCCAATCCTTCGGCTCAGGTCAACTCAGGTCAGCTCAGGTCGGGTTTCAGCTTAATTCTAATCACAGCGCTCATGTTAACAGGGTTTTTGTAAGAAACATTCCAGAGAATGCTGCACAGGAACACGGACTGAGTACAGGCAGAAGTGTGCTGAAATCCACGCGAGCTCCGCAACCGTGCACATCTCACAGTTGGAGGCTAAAACCACCGAGTAAGATCGGGCTGAAGAATTTGTGGTATGTCAGCCAGCTGGCTGTCAAAGCATCTGCACCAAATATTAACACTAGCGGTGCAAGTGTAATTTGAGGAGATGTTTTTGGTTGGTTCCTGATTTCAGGTCAACTCACTCAAATCATGAGGAGAGCATTAAAATGCCGTGACTTCAGCCCGTGATAAGGGCCGATAACTCAGCATGCGTCAGTTGGCAGCTGCCAAGGATAAACCTCACATATTCCAGCCATCCTAACGACTGCACTTACTCCTCTGATGCGAAGTGTATGGCCGACACATTGAGCTCGTTATTGAGCGCTCGCAGCTTCAGGCCAAGTAGGTGTGAAGAACCAAGGAGATGCGGCTAGGCGAAAAAGGCGGCTAAAAATGTGCTCGTCTCGGGCATCCAGATGTGTCACAGCCTCGTCAAGCGCTGTGACGTCACGGTCACGGCACTGCCGGCAGCTCGGCTCCCTTCTAACACGCTCTGCCGCTGCAGCCTGCAGGACATGGAGTCCGCCATCGTCAGCCTGGACGCGAAAATGAGGGCGGTGGCCAACAGACTGCACCGACACGAGTCCAGGTGAGGCTCCGGCCAGTTACAGACTGCACCGACATGAGTCCAGGTGAGGCTCCGGCCAGTTACAGACTGCACCGACACGAGTCCAGGTGAGGCTCCGGCCGGTTACAGACTGCACCGACACGAGTCCAGGTGAGGCTCCGGCCAGTTACAGACTGCACCGACATGAGTCCAGGCGAGGCTCCGACCAGTTACAGACTGCACCGACACAAGTCCGGGTGAGGCTCCGGCCGGTTACAGACTGCACCGACACGAGTCCAGATGAGGCTCCGGCCAGTTACAGACTACACCGACACGAGTCCAGGTGAGGCTCCGGCCGGTTGCAGACTTCACCGACACGAGTCCAGGTGAGGCTCCGGCCAGTTACAGACTGCACCGCCACGAGTCCAGGTGAGGCTCCGGCCAGTTACAGACGGCACAACGGCACCCTGGCGGTCATGTGACGGAACTCTGCTTCGCGGGATGCTCCGGGAAGAGAGGCTCCGCGTTTTTTTTTCTGGATCGGATAGCTCAAGTGCGCAAAAACTCATAACTTTGACATATATCGCGATGTGTTTTGGTGATAATGGTGATGTAACTATGCATATATGACGATGATGGCATGCCATGACGATACTTGTGGTAATGGCGGGTTTTTCACCTTGCATGTGTCTTTGATGGCTTTTCATTTGTGTCCTAAATACTTCCCTATTTCAGCGACTTTCATCTAAAGCATTTTAAATTTTCATTGCTCGGATGTTGCCGAACTTTGCCTGCGAGACGATTTCGCGTCGTAAACGTCTGATGACGCTGGTATCAGACCACGCTCTCGTCCGTGGCCGCCTGCAGGGTCCGCCAGGTGAACGAAGTGACCACGAAGACGCTGCGGGCGATCCTGACCCAGACGGCCGGCCAGAGTCGCAACGTGGAGAGCATCGCCGTCTACATGGCCAAGATGGAGGGCCGCATGCTCAACATGGATAGAGCCCTGCAGAAGGTACGCGGCCGCCACCAGCGGAGGGGGGGGAGGCAGTTCGGGGTGTCGGGCTCGCTTGGCGTTCGGAGCCGGGACCAGCTTCGTCGGGCGGGAGCTCGCTGTGTCAGAGGGGCGTGCGGCAATGAGGAAAAACACATACATCAGACAGTGGGAATATATTGGAAGATCGAGGGAGAGAGGAATTAGAGAATTGGAAGAAATGTGGGTAAGATGGGAGATTAAGACGAGGCTCAAGAGGGGCAAAAGAAAAGGAGAGAAGAACGCAGAGAGCTGATGTAGAGGTGAGGTTGGCAGAGAGGTAAGGGGTTAGGGGGATACGAGAGAGAGAAAAAAAGAGAGAGTGAGAGAAAGACAGAGAGAGAGAGAGAGTGAGAGGAAGACAGAGAGAGAGAGGGAAAGAAAGACAGAGAGAGAGAGAGGGAGAAAGAGAGAGAGAGAGAGAGAGAGAGAGAGAGAGAGAGAGAAGAGAGAGAGAGAGAGAGAGAGAGAGAGAGAGAGAGAGAGAGAGAGAGAGAGAGAGAGAGAGAGAGAGAGAGAGAGAGAGGAGAGAGAGAGAGAGAGAGAGAGAGAGAGAGAGAGAGAGAGAGAGAGGAGAGAGAGAGAGAGAGAGAGAGAGAGAGAGAGAGAGAGAGGAGAGAGAGAGAGAGAGAGAGAGAGAGAGAGAGAGAGAGAGCGTCTGCAAGAGCGCTACTCTGCGGCTCGGCCGCCGTCCTTCGCACACGACACGTGTTCTAATTAGCCCATCACGCGTGATGAATGGGTAAACACGGCGGCTTGTCCGACCGCACAATCCGCTGCACCCTTCACTCCCACCCAGCTGCGCCGCGTCTTGGCGCGTGTCCAGAGCACGTGCAAAAAGCAGATGCTGCCAGGCAACGACCCGCGCGGACAGCGGTGATGTCACGCGGGTGGGTTGATGTCAGCCTCTAACTGTCCTCCGTTTTGGCCGCGGTAGGTGACATCATTGTCGTGATTTGACGGCGTGGTTGGATTACGTTTAGTTCCCGGTCTCGGCCCTCTCAGGGTGTGTCACACGGATACACGACGACAGCTTGCTGGCGAGGAGGTGTTCAACGATCCCAGGAAGCCTGTTCCTGCAGATCACGGCCGATGACGCAGGCGGCGCCCGCCGACAAAGGCTGAGGCTGCGATCATTAGGACGGCCCGCGCGCCCCCCGCGCTGTTTTAGGGCCGACTCACGGCCACATGTCACGATATTGCAGTCATGGGGAGTGAATCACGCACTCGAATAAACACACAGGATCATGTCTCGTGTGTTTACAACTTGGCGGACGATTAGGCCCGGACGTTGGCCGCTGCGTGGTGGTCCGACCCTGTGCACAGGGAGGTCGTGAACTCTGTCGCCTGGCATGACAACCCGGTTGTTGCAGCGGCTGCTGAGACCTCCGTCACGGCCGAGGGAGAGGTGGTAGCCAGGGGTGACAAGGGCGGGTGTGACACGGCCGGAGGTGTTATTGGCCCCGCGACCTGTGAGAGCACTTCAAGTGAACGGCGGACAAGGCCATGTTCTCACCGGAGAGGACACTGATGACTTGCCAGCGTTTAGGAAACTGTGGCAACCTGATCACTCTTACGTAACTGCCCTGGAGCAGCGGAAGTGGATAGACCACTCACCCAGAGCTCTGCCGCATCTCGGACGCTGCGTCCCGCGATGCCCGCTGGACATCGGTGAGACGGCAGGATTTTCGTGTGCCCCAGAACGACCGGAAGATGGACGAGGTCCTGAAGCTGCTGAGAGCGCAGCAGAGCCAGGTCATCGAGAGTCGCTCCGCCGGCCCGCCCGATAACGTCGTCAACAAGCTGGACAGCATCGACGAAACCCTGAATGAGAGGTGCGCTGGCGGCCGGACCGCTTCCCGCGAGCGGCGGGTCGTCTGGACTCGCGTTCATCCTATAACACCGGTCAGGGTTCCCAGGCGGGATTTCTTTGATCGTCGGGTATTGGGAAATCACGCGTTCTGCATGATACGCCGAGGCATTGCGCTGGCTTTGGCTGGCGAGGACTCGGCTCCGACGTGTGACGAGCCGACGTGCCGGCACTGCTCCATGAAAACCCATTCAGCGCATCAGTGCAATGTGGCTCACGCTCCGTGTGTCGCCCTGTGGCCAATCGCTCGACTTGCTTCGTGAGTCATGCATTTGTTCCGACTGATGCAGCGGCTGGTGCTGACGTGAGCCGCCGGCTATGAACCCGCTGACTATGAACCCGCTCGTCTGACCCGGCTGACGGGCCGACCCTGCGTGCGACGTGATTCCGCCCCTTGACAAACCGTGCTGAGGGCGTGATGTCCTTGATCCAACCTTCGCAGGTCCGACCGCGCTGATCTGACCACGCTGAGCGCTTGATCCTGCTGACCAGACCCCCAGCTGATGTGGTTGACCGGGCCTGACTTTGTATGTGACTTGATCCCACTGATGGCGTAGCCTTACTGATGACCTGACAGTTGACACCTCTGATGGCCTGATACTGAGGACACTGCTGACCTGACACTGTTGGCTGACGCCGGTAACCCGAACCATCCGACTGGGCCTTACAGACCTGACCCAACTGTCTGACTGTGACATCGATTCTGACCTGACCCTATCGTAGAACCTGTTGACCAGACCTGGGTGGCCTGAACCTGCTGATCTGACTCTGCTGACCTGACCCCAGTGAGCTGTACCTGCTGACCTGACCTGACCCGGCCAACCTGACCGCACTGTCCGCCCCAGCTGACCTGATGCCGACGACCTGACCCCGTTGGCCTGACCCCGGTGGCCTGACCCGGTGACCTGCCCCTGGTGACCTGACCCCGATGATCTGAGCGCGCTGACCTGCCCCGGTGTCGGCGTCGGCAGGATGAGCGGCCTGCTGAGCGAGGCGCTCACCTCGCGGGAGAGGGTGACGTCACACCTACAGCGGCAGGACCGCATGATGAACGACCTCGCCAACAGCCTGGGTAGCGTGTCCGGCCTCTCCATGTCCATCCAGCAGACCTCCGAGCAGTTGCAGGGAACCGAGGCCAAGCTGGCCAAGCACACCCAGGTCAGAGACTCACGGCACTTGGGCATGATAAGCTGGCCGGCACACCATTGACCGCAGAACTTCCGCGGGCGAGGCGTCATCTGACCGCGTCGTTATTGGTGCAGTAACAAGGCGTGAACAACGCCATTACAAGAGGTGCTCGGATAAGGGTAGCGATTCATGCCATCGTGGAGGAGTAATAAATTGCGTAGGTAACTGCATTTGAAATGTCAAAGCAGTGTCATTTACGCACATTGCGTACACACTGGCGCTCAATCCTTTGACCCGCGCAACTACCGCTCTCGTCGCGCTCAGCCTAAATCCGCGGTGTTTCCACGGGCCGGCAGGACGCGGAGACGATCCTGACGCAGCTCTCGGTGGGCGTCGGCGTGCTGATCGACAACGCCCACCAGCTGGGCAACGACTCGCGCCTGGTGGCTGATGACGTCAGCGCGGTGCGCCAGGACCTGCAGCGGCTGGCGCGCGACATGGACGCCCGGCAGGTGCGTCCGTGCCGCACGTCGCGTGCCGCGTGCTGCGTGCCACGTGCCACGTACCACGCATGTCCTGTTGGTGTGGCTGAGGCTCTGCAGCACGGAACCGGACGGGGGGGGGGGGGGGAGGGGGAGGGGGGAGGGCAGGAAACCAATGCCCCAGCTTTTGTGGAACAGAATGGCATGCGCACGGAGTTCTATGTGAAGAGACGACGTAACAACTTTGACGGCGCTCTTCCTCAACCTTTGGCCCGTGGTGGGGCTGCTGCATGCTGGCTAAATTAGCCGCGATAGCAGAGGTCTTTTGATTCAGATCTAGAAGCAAGTGGCGTTAGGAAGCGAATCCTGACGGGTGTGTTTTTTCTGTCCCTTGTGTTGGCTATCGCAGATTCAGGCGCCACCACCAAGGGTTCTCAGACGCGGTTGAACGCTGCTGTCCGGTAATGCGCACGTGACCTCGGCACCGTGACCCAACGTGCCCCGGATCGGCCCCTCGCCCGCCAGGTGGAGCTGTTCAGCAGCCAGTACCAGACCAGCAGCCAATCGAGTGACGTGTACGACAAGATCAAACGGGACATCGACCTAGCGACCAACAACACGGCGGCGGAGATGGGCCAGCTGCGCTCGGAGGTGAGGTCGCCATCTGCGCATGCGCACGCAGACCAGGGTGGGATGACCTGGAGGAACTAGCAGTTTCTGAGAGATAATTTTGTGAGGGCTTTCATCGCGCCGCCGTGATGGCTGTGATGATTGGTGATGATCAAATGACCGGTGAGGGGTTTCGTTTTAGAGGTTAGTTCATGAGCAACACTCGATTGCCAAAGTCAGAGTCACCTACGCGCGCCCGAAAGTTTTCTCATGCTTGCCGCGTGCGGTCATCCCGACGGACGCTATGCGAACACGCGGCATCTGCTGAGAGGCGTCAGTCAGTGGCAGCATACACTCTGCCCATGGGTCCGCGGCGATGCATCACGCAAGGGCGGCAGTAAAACGCCAAGTCACGTCATGGACATTTAAAGATGAGACGAGCCGCACTCCTTCGAAACTGACGACCTCATGAGCCGCAGCTGCGGTCAATGTTGATCAAAAGCTCATGGGCCCCTCGCTCCCGTTTCCTTGTTGGGTGTGCCGTGACGAACGAACAGCAAAGTTGATGATGCAAGTGATCCCGGGGGCACAGGGTCAGTGTCACTGACCTGTTGCAGGCGGGGATAACGGGCGGAAATGCACACCTCGCGCTGGTGCGAGCACGCGTGTGTTGCGAGCATCGGACTGGCTGGGTGGGAGCTGATGTGCGGGGGTAGTCGCGGCTGGATGGTAGCTGCTGTGAGGGGATAATAGTGGTTGGGTGTAAGCCGCCATGTGGGGTTGGTCGTGGCTGGGTGGCAGCTGCTGTGTGGGGATGATCGCAGCTGGGTGGCAGCTGCTGTGTGGGGATGATCGCAGCTGGGTGGCAGCTGCTGTGTGGGGGTAGTCGCAGCTGGGTGGCAGCTGCCGTGTGGGGTAGTCGCAGCTGGGTGGCAGCTGCCGTGTGGGAGTAGTCGCAGCTCGGTGGCCGCCGATGTGTTCACATGCCCGACTGCCTCGCATCTGCCGCGTAAATTGCCCGGTATATTACTGTGCCATGCCTCCGGCGATGGTTCCTTGTGCTGCTAAGCTAAGAAGACGGCACTCGTGAACGTGACGTGTTCGTGGAACGGAGGTCTAAATGGTCAACAGATATGACCTTCAGATGCCAAACAATGCATGGCTAATAGACATTTGAGTGAGCTGAATCATGTCAGTTAGATATTCAGCCGGTAACAGTGGGAGGGCATGGTTTGCGTTGCTGCTCATTATCATGCTCATTATCATTGCGTTGCTGCTCATATCTCACGGGACCCCCGCTGCGGCAAATTGTGGAGATCGGCGCGGAGAGAGACCGCGTTTGCCGCCCATCTCACGGGGCCTCTGCTGCTGCAGATCGTGGAGATCGGCGCGGAGAGGGACCGCGTTTGCCGCCTATCCCACGGGACCTCTGCCGCTGCAGATTGTGGAGATCGGCGCGGAGAGAGATCGCGTTTGCCGCCTATCTCACGGGACCTCTGCTGCTGCAGATTGTGGAGATCGGCGCGGAGAGAGATCGCGTTTGCCGCCTATCTCACGGGACCTCTGCTGCTGCAGATTGTGGAGATCGGCGCGGAGAGAGATCGCGTTTGCCGCCTATCTCACGGGACCACTGTTGCTGCAGATTGTGGAGAGCGGCGCGGAGAGGGACCGCGTTTGCCGCCTATCTCACGGGACCTCTGCTGCTGCAGATTGTGGAGAGCGGCGCGGAGAGGGACCACCTATCTCACGGGATCTCCGTTGTTGCAGATTGTGGAGATCGGCGCGGAGAGAGACCGCGTTTGCCACCTATCTCACGGGATCTCCGTTGCTGCAGATTGTGGAGAGCGGCGCGGAGAAGGACCGCGTTTGCTGCCTATCTCACGGGACCTCCGTTGCTGCAGATTGTGGAGAGCGGCGCGGAGAGGGACCGCTTGGTGGACGCTCGGATGGAGGGGCTGAAGGGCGGCCAGACGCAGCTGACCAACATGGTTCAGGAGTCGATGGCCATGGCCGAGGGGCTCTACGAGCGGGTCAACCAGGGCTACAACGACCTGAAGAGGGAGATCCAAGGTGCGGACTCATGCCGCCGATCCAGTTGCTGTCACGCTGTGGGACGTCTCCCATCTGAAGATGGTTCTCACGTTCCCGCAGGCCAATTACTGAGAGATGCGCGCGGTCGCTAGATGGACACAATTCTGTATTCTAACGTGATGTAGATTCGCAGCGATTTTTCAAGGCCAGTGTCTTCATCTTTTTTAGTTTTTTTCACGAAGGCTGTCTTCCGTGCGCACATGTACTATCTGGTAGCTTTCCGTGCACACTTTGTGAATGCAGTTACTCCGCACATACACGCGACTCCGGTGGAATGCTGGCCGTGATGTTCCTGACGTGACAGCGCCTCTTGCCTGTCTTGTCCAGGCCTGTCGAACCTGGAGGAGGTGATGGTGGACACGGCGGACAGCGTGCTGGACACCAAGCGGCGGCTGGAGTTCGGCGTGCAGCAGATCCTGCTGGAGGTGGAGGCGGCCGTCAAGGCGCAGGGCATCAAGATCAACGGCACGTTCTCCACCAAGTTCGGCAGCATCTCGCAAGAGATCCTGGCCAACCAGTCGGTGGCGCTGCACAACATGACCAAGTCGATCGAGGGCGAGATCGCGCAGGTCTGGCGCCAGATCGGCGTCATGTACCAGACGCTCTCGAGCTCGGCGGATGTGCTGGACAAGATCGATGACAAGACCACTCAGTATGTCAACGGCTCGCTTGAGCAGACCGAAAAGGTACCCTGCCGAGTACACAACACGCGGCGCGCACAGCGGCCGCTCGATTTAGCTAGGTTCGGTCAAGGTTATTTCTGGATATGGTAACCAAGTTGCCTGATTATCCAATAGTATAAGGTAACCAGTTACCTTTGCCTGGTTACTCCAATGTGCTCTTTATCCGCAATCGCTGCAATGCAATGTTTGGAGTCATGCTAAGCAGCAGTAGCAGTAGAACAGCTTGAGAGTTCTTCGTTGTTGCGTATAGAACGCACTCTCGTAACCGACATATCCTAAATTGGGCAGCACGTGTTGTTAATTCTTTTCAGGCTTCGCAGGGGTAGACCAATCACTATTTGCAACGTATAACATAATGGCAGTGTCCATGTCCATATACATGTCCTCGCTATTTGCACCGTACCTCTGTTTTCAGAGCGTTCACATTTACTCGTCTCCGTTCACAGTTCCGTCATTGCGTGCCAAGCTAAACCACTTGAGTAAGAGTGTCATCACCGCCTTCCCCCCCCCCCCCCCTCCAGGTGGACGGCACGGTGGGCGACGTGGCCAAGCGCGTCGGCGAGGTAGAGGAGAACCTTAACTTCCTGCTGGGCCGCCTCTCGCTGGTCGTCTCCGAGTTCAACCAGATGAAGTCGGGTATCGGCGCTGAACTCGACCTGCTGCGCACCAAGTTCAAGACGTTCGGCCCCGAGTCGGCCTACGTCGTCAGCGACGCCGGCGGCGCCGACGGCGACGGCGGTCTGCGGAAGATACCGATCCAGTGACGGCGCGGCGCGGCGGCGTGAGAGCGGCGCGGCGGCGTGAGAGCGGCGCCGGGAGCCGGCGGGGTCGGAGGCGCGCGGCCGGGGTGGTTTTGCGGCGGTGCGGCGCTCGGTCCGGTGTGGAGAGCGTCACTGTCACAGACCGGAGTGAACTGGGTCGCAGTGCGAACGGCCTCGGCAGCAGAGCGCACGCTTTTTGCGAGGTTGATCTTTTTGTACAGTGTGACGTATTTTAAGGCTCATTAATTTCAGTCGCGCTGACGGAGGGTCGAAGCTGGGAGACGAAAGTAGATCTTGTGGTGTTATCATGCGAGTAGGTTTTCATTGAGTGTGTAGGATAATTTCAGCCATACGCATCGGGCTGCAGGGCTTTGGAAAACATCGAAAATCCACGCTCTGTCATGCGGCCGAAATGAGTTGCATCCATGCTGTCGGTAACTGTCGCGAGCTGGTCTCAAAGCGCTTTGCTTTTCACGCCCCGTACTCACTGCTTCCATTTCGCTCTTGTGTTAAGATTGCAGTGGTGTGTTGTTAGCAAACATCGTCATAAACGTCTCCGCTAATGTCCTGCCGGCGTGCGGCCGACATCTGCGCGGCCCACCAGCGCGGCGTCGTGACCTTTCACCGCCGCCCGTCGCAGCCGGCGCCGGAGACGGATGGGCGCGGCGCCCCAGCAGCCCCCTTCCGGCGGGCAGCGGGCCGCCTGCTGCGGCAGCGTCCGCCCCACGTGACGCCTCTGCGCTCTGGTGTCGCCGCACGTCCAGACCGCTGGCCGATGTATACAGCGGGGGGCGCGCGCGGTGTACACACGAGCGGCCGTTCACCGGACAGCGTGGTGAAATACACGGAGCTTTTGTGCCGCTCGGTTCACTGGCCGTCCACTGCGGGCTGGCAGACGCGGCGCTCTGGCGGCGTCCGCGACCGGCCGAGCCCCCGGGGACCCCCGAGCGGTCGGCGGAGCCCCCGGGACGCCCGAGCTGTCAGCTGCGGGTGTCGAGCGTGTGCGAGATGTCCTGGTCGGCTGGTGAGGACGGTCGTCTGGCGCTGGTCGGAGGGCACCAGGACGGCTCGGCTTGAAGACGTGGTGACAAGGAGCAACTCTGCACAAGCTGCGGCTGCTAAGCGATCTATGATGGGGAGAATACAAAGGCGATGAAACAGAAGTGACGCGACGTGCGATGCAGCCACAAATAACGTCCCCGTAGAAACTTTCCAGCTTATTCAGGTTTTTGGAGCCTTCTTCTTCTAGACATTATCGTCTTCTAATAGGCGAAACAACAAATCTGAGCACGCCATGGGCGGGCCGTTGCAGAAACATGACACACTTAGCTCATGTTACATGCCATCTTCGGTGATCGCTTCCAAAGCAGGCATGTTTGACGCCGTCTGGCCGAATTTAGGGGTCAACTGATATAATTATCATCATTTATGTTATATCACGCTTGGGCTTAACACCGCAGAGTGATAAACATTACAAAAAAGAATGGACGAAGCAAGCATTTGGCAGCACAGGCTAAATCATCATCGTCAAAAGGCGGCGGGATTTATCAGAGAGTTCTTATAGAAGGGGCTGGTGGGTGCCCACCCCTCCTTCTTCATCCTGTGGTCTATGTGACCAGCAACCAGATTTAGGGTCGACTGGAGACAGCAGTACGTTATGCATTTGGTAGATGGTGCGAGCTGATATATTTACGAGCCACCCTCGATGCTCGTGCAGGACAAAAATAACAGGATATTGTATAACTTGTGAGGCAACTAAACCGAGCGCGCGCACCAGCCTTTTTACTGTAAAAGTGGGTTGCGAGACTTCCTCCTCCCCCCCGGCGGTTGAGCGCGGACGTTCAGTGCGCTCACGTCGCAGTGTCACGGTCACATTTACGGCCGTGTTTGTCCAGGATCGTGCACTAGGCCACGCCAACTTTGATGATTATTCTTTATTCGCCAGTGTCTCAACCCGGTACGTTTTTTTCATTAACTTTTATTTACTTTACAGTGTACATAGATTATATCTTGTTTCGCTTGTCTGGGCGGGTCAAATGAATCGAGTTGTTCATCTTCTCTACGTAGCCTCGCATATCTGTGTAAGCCCATGCGTTCTATGGGATTCCAGTGTGATTCCGTTTGGAATCCCGTGAGACATTCCGATCGGAATCTGGTAGGATTGTCTTCTCGAAATTTCATGGAACTGTACCATCGGACCCGGTCAGATTTTGTACTAGGGTAGACTTGGGGTAACCTGGGGCTTCACTGCGGTAATCTCGCTGCTAAGGCAGAATCGGTTTTTCATTTTTCCAACATGAGCTTACAGCGTATTGGGTTGATTCCATGCCTGCCTTTGAGGCACGAAGCCAATAATTTGAGTCGACTTCCATTCCAACTCACCGAGATTTGATGTCAGTCCGGAATCGAATCAGGTGGCGGGGAATCTCGGGACGGTGATTTTTGTGCATCAAACTCCCCAAGCCACGAAAGGTCCATACAACGCATCTGCATTTTGATAATAAACAGTGGCCCTTCAGTGGCTCATTTGCCGCAGATGCAACTGCCATCGGAGTGATATTATTTGTCGCCATTTTCATTTTGATTCAAAGCCATTCGTCACCGACCTGACTTAGGGTGCTCGGTGACAAACCATCAGTAAACCCTAACTTTGTACGGAAGCTAGTGTATGCAGTCGGTGGCTGCAGAATGAAAATACATGTTTGACCTCGAAACTCAATCAGATCAACGGCTCGCCATTAATCAGCCAGTCAATTTTGTGAGGTCTCATTTGGCATTAGCATTCTTGAAGGGGAATAATCCGCAATGGAGTATTTTAAACGGGCATTGTTGAAGGGAGTGTTCCACACTGGTATGCGGTTTTGAGCTGAAAGACCCATCTTGAACATCACTCGGTGCAGCTCACAGCCCTGTCCTTCTTAAGACCTAAACCCTTCTAGCTCCGAAGCCACACGCCCAGGAGGATGTGCAGACTTTTTCGGAGACTATCTCAAGGTCGCCCAGTGGCAACATCTTTAAATATGGAAAATGAGAAGTTTGTTTGTTTTAATATCTTCAAATGTAGAATATTCCTTTTTGATGTGACCTGCGGCCAGTTCTTTGGACTCCTGACCTCCAATTAAGAGAGCAAGAGGCTGTCCAATCAGGCCATTCGTCTTTGTTCACGAGGGACTCTTTGGCTCCTCTTCAGACTTCCTCAGGTAAAGCCTGTGGCCGAATCGGGGCCACTGGCCGACACATGACCTCCTGTTAGGTACTGTGAGCCTATGACTGACACAGGGGCCCCAACTGTTGTTGCAGGGAATCAGATCAATGCTAATCGTGGCTCCGGCCCGCTCCTGCTGGAGAAATGGGCCCCCAAGTTTCAGACTGACAGGGAGCCAACTGTCCAGTGTTCGTTGTCGACTGCGCCACCTTTTCTGCCTTGGGGGTCCTCAAATGGTGCAAGAGTACATCTGACTAATATTTCAGGTCACGACCCTACGGGTCGCGACTCTTTATGTGACCTACAGACAGTTCTTCGGGCCCTTATGCCCTCCAACCGAGCCCTTGATCGTCGGTTCCGGTGGGCCACCCGGGCCCTCTTCAGCCCCCATCAATCACTGCTCTCGGTCGGCTCGGGGCCTTTGCGAAAGCAGGACTCCTTGTTAAGCACTGTGAACCCCCAAAACATACAGGGAACCCGACAAGTGTAGATCGCTGGCCCAGCCTTTGTTGCTGATTCGGAAGTAGGATCTCAGACCCACACCGACACGGAGCCGACTGGGCGGTATTGGTGGTGCCTGACCAACACATGGGTCCATATCAACTCAGGGGATCCCCGATCGGTGCAAAAGGCGCTCTGTCATTTGAGGTATAGTTCCTGCAGGCCGAGACCCTGAATATGACACCCACCGGCTCTTCGTGCTCTTAAACCCTCCAATGGGGCACTCCATCATCGGTCTCGGTGGGCCCTCCAGGCTCTTCGGGCTTCTTCGAACATTACGTCTGGTCGGCTTGGGGCCCCTTGCCAACACAGGGCCGCCTATTAAACGCTATATGGGCCCTAACAGACGCTGGGCCCGGCCAGTGTAAACCGCTGGCTCCAGCTTTGTCCCTGCTTGGGAAATAGGCCCCTAGGTCCACACCGAAAGGGAGCCGACCGTGCGTTATTGGTGTTATCTGATCGACACATGGGCCCTTATCGACTCAGGAGCCCCTGATCAACGCGCAGGGCCTCCTGGTTGGCACTGGAGCATCCGAGCTCGGTCCCTAAATGCGACCTCCGGCTGGCTTTTCGGGTCCCTTCGGACCCTTTGTCGTAGGGGTCTGGAGGGCCCCTCAGAACCTATGAGTGCGCATACCCCTTGTACCCCCTGCCTGCGCTACTGGATTCGACTTGAAAATGCAACCTAATGTGGCCAAAGCGTCTGATCCGTTTAACCACCAGAGTTTCGTACGAATCAAGTATATTCGAAAACTATTTTGCCCATTTCTACAAAGAGACTGTTTACGGCGCAGCTGCGCCAATGCGGCGTAGCGCCTCTCCGAAGGAAAAACACGCTCAGGGAGAGCGCTCCGCAAATAGGGCCGCGTGATACATTTGGGAGCGTGTCTATTGAGGAGGCGCACAAATATTGAGTTTCGTGAACCGAGGTTTTGGGCTATTCCTATTTGTTTCTATGGCACACTTTTGGATTTGATGAAGGCCCAAGCCTCATGAAGGAACCCTGTGTAACAGTTGTAATCACAGCTGCCGCACGGCCACCGATAGCAAGCCTCGGCTAGATATAATTTTCACTTCGTTGGTGGGTATTTCATATGTTGAATGTTTTGCGTACCTTTGTGACTGTCTGTCATTATAAGTCAGTTTTTGTGAAGGTATGCTGGATGTGTGTCATTGCAGCCATCATCTTGTGTCCTGTCCCAACCCTGACAGAATGGTTGGTATTTTTCTGTCACATACAAGTTAAGGAACAACAGTTTTCTCATGCCAGCTAGAAAAATTCGAGTCTGAGAAAATCAGAGCATTGGATAATGTGTTTGATTCTGCATCAAGTTTTTATAGCTGAATGTATGTTGAAGTTACCCATAAGGGCTCATGACAGTCTATTATGATAAGCAAAGTTGAGGCTCTATTTCTAGCCCCACAGCTTTGTAGGCTGTGGTAGCATGGATGCTGGTATTACATAGATCTTGACCGCTGAATGGATCTGTCATAGTAACTTGTCAGCAGGTGTGACCATTGACATTTGAAATACAGTGTCACACATCCAATCTTCTATCCATGGGCACCACCTTGTTATCTTAAGATCCAAGAATGGGTATAGTAATTGTTATGAGGGATGTAATTGTTAAACTGTATTATGAATGATGAGGGATAGTAATTGTTAAACTGTATTATGCAGTGGTTTAAGGGATGTGTAGGCTTCTGACATTGCAGAATATATGACTTCTTGTACACTTTTACAGGCAGCAGATACTTTTGCAGTGACATTAGAGGTTCTTTAATGCTTGTTTGCTGAATAGCATACTGAATGTCAGTATGTGAGTGCCAGTGATATCATTTGACCTTTATGGATGTCAAGGGCATGTCAAGGCCATGATTTTGATGCAGACTGTTATCATCCATGATATATGAAAGACAGTCTGACATTTTGCACAAAATTGGAAATACTGCAAGCATTGTCTCATTTGATTCTACCATCATGCATTTAGGTGTTCAGGTGTCACACATGATGGTAAGGTTTCAGTGTCATGTATGTATTTAGGTTTTACATGCCATTACTAACACTCCTTCTGGGCTATCAGCTCTACAGTGTGCTCACATCAACCATGTGTACCCCATCTCACAGGGGCAGCCACCATGTCAACAATGTACTCAATCCACAAGACCATCCACCCGCCCACGGGAGTGGAGGCAAGCCTCTACTGCAACTTCATCGGCCAGGGCGACCAGCAGCTGGTGGTGGCCGGCTCCAACATGCTCAAGATATACCGGCTGGTCCCCGACCCGGATGCTGTCCTGTCATCAGATGAAGGTGGGACACGGTCCATGCTAGCGATCGCCGACATAAGGATGCTGGTGTCGGTCTCTGTGAGGAACATGCACAACACTGTGTTTATGGTCATTTGTCATACATGATGTCAAAGTTATTGATGGGACTTGTTCTGTGGTACATGGGGCACATGCTGATAGCGGTGGCGCGTCCTCTCCGACAAGCTGTCGTTCTCATGAGTCAGGAGTGGCAGCCATTCCATATATTCACAAGCCAAAATCACCATCATAAATGGGCAGTCAGGAGCCAGCTGCTGTACATAGTGAAGGCATTTCGTGACATTCATTAGACTGATGCAGTCTTCAACTTCATCTGAAGTACACAGAGCCACCTTTGAACCTCCCCCGAATTGACCGATTCAGCTGCGTCTCTGTAACCTCGTACGTGTGTCATGAACGCCGCCAACGCTGGATCCTTGCAGAGGAGCGGCCCAAGACGCGGCTTGAGTGTCTGCTGTCGTTTTCGCTGTACGGCCGCGTGGCGGCGCTGGCGTCGGCCTCGCTGCCCGGTGCGAAGCGGGACTCGCTGCTGGTGGCGTTCGACGAGGCCAAGCTGGCGCTGTGCGAATACGACCCGCTGCGGCACGACATTGCCACCATCTCCATGCACATGTTCGAGGAAGATGAGATGAAGGTGCGGGCCGTCTGCGGCGTGGACTAGGCCAGGGGAGACGCTGCAGCACGGACAGATGACGGACAGACGGACAGACGGACGGACTGCACAAAAGAGGACATATTCAGTGGGAAGGAATTTAGAGTCTGCAACCTAGGCCGTTAGTGGAGGAGATTATGACAATATGAACCGAAACACTCTCTGCATGGACCTTGTATGAACCAGTATGTGCTCGGTACGAACCGTAACTACAGGCTGCCGTCTTCAGCGGGTAACGAACGCGGCCTTCCCGATCGCGACATCTCTGACCGATTCGTCGTGTCAGCACGGGCTCCCGCTCTGCGCTGTGCCCGTACTACCCGGGCAGCTGTTCCCTGCCGAATCGCCGCAGCGCGCTCTCACCCCGCCGCCAGCTGACCATGTCGCTACTTCAGCCGTTCGGGCGGCGTGGCGCCGCCTCCCGAACGGCGCTGGCGGCCGCGCCCGTGCTGGTGCTGAGCGTCCCCTCGTCCCCAGTCGGGCTGTACGGACCTGACGGGCGTGCAGATGCGCGTGGATCCGGAGAGCCGCTGCGCCGCCATGCTCATCTACGGCCGACGCATCGTCATCCTGCCGTTCCGGCGAGAGGTGGGTCCGGGGTGCCGACGGGTGGGGAGGTCGGTGCCGGCGAGAGGTGGGTCGAGGGTGCCGAAGGGTGGGGAGGTCGGTGCCGGCGAGAGGTGGGTCGAGGATGCCGACGGGTGGGGAGATCGGTGCCGGCGAGAGGTGGGTCGGGGGTGCCGACGGGTGGAGGGGTCGGTGCCGGCGAGAGGCGGGTCGGGGGTGCCGACGGGTGGAAGGGTGGTGCCGGCGAGAGGCGGGTCGGGAGTGCCGACGGGTGGGGAGATCGGTGCCGGCGAGAGGTGGGTCGGGGGTGCCGACGGGTGGGGAGGTCGGTGCCGGCGAGAGGCGGGTCGGGGGTGCCGACGGGTGGAGGGGCCGGTGCCGGCGAGAGGCGGGTCGGGGGTGCCGACGGGTGGAGGGGTGGTGCCGGCGAGAGGTGGGTCGGGAGTGCCGGCGGGCGGAGAGGCCGGTGCCGACGGGTGGAGGGCCGGTGCTTGCTCTCGTCGGCGCCCTCCGTAGTGGCTGCGCTCTCGTCGGCCCTCTCACCAGCGGCCTCGCTCTCGTCGGCCCTCTCACCAGCGGCCTCGCTCTCGCCGGCCCTCTCACCAGCGGCCTCGCTCTCGTCGGCCCTCTCACCAGCGGCCTCGCTCTCGTCGGCCCTCTCACCAGCGGCCTCGCTCTCGTCGGCGCTCTCACCAGTGGCCTCACTCTCGTTACCGCTCTCAGAAGTGGCCTCGCCCTCGTCGGCGCTCTCACCAGCGGCCTCGCTCTCGTTGACGCTCTCCGTAGTGGCTGCGCTCTCGTCGGCCCTCTCACCGGCGGCCTCGCTCTCGGCGCTCTCACCAGCGGCCTCACTTCCGTCACCGCTCTCAGAAGTTACCTCTCCTTCGTCGGCGCTCTTACCAGCGGCCTTGCTCTCGCCACGACCGACAGGTAACCGTGGACGAGGAGACAGGCAGCCGACGCTCGCCGGTGCTGCCATCTTACGTCATCAACCTGAAGGAGCTGGACGAGCGGCTCTGCAACGTCGCCGACGTTCAGTTTCTGCACGGCTACTACGAACCGACGCTTGCCATTCTGTACGAGCCGATCAAGACGTTCGCCGGGTAAGTGCTGGTGTCGTTTTCCTATGGCGAGAGCTCGGCATTGTTAGATGTTTTCACTTTTGAGTGGCATGTTCTTGTTGAATAACGAAATGTATGCGGTGCAGTTTCGGCTGTTTTTTTCAACGTTGTCCAGCTGGCCTCTGTAAGGTTAAGATTTGATAGCGCGTGGTTGTGTCGGATAATATTTTCGATGCTCTGCGTGTTCAAGCGTATAAAATCACACGCTTGCCGCAGTTTCACGTGTAATTTACGACCGTTGTCCAGAGGTGGAGTGCGCGGAAGTGTCGTCCTCCTCCACTCTGCAACGTCAGGTGTGGCCTGCCGTACACCCGAGCCAAAGCTTGACCTGGTGCGGCCGGTTCTGCCGCGTCCCGGCCCGGACCACGTGACCCCGACACCTTGTTCCCCTCAGGCGGCTGGCGGTGCGCCGCGACACGTACCAGCTGGTGGCCATCTCGCTGAACGTGGAGCAGCGCGTGCACCCGGTGATCTGGACGGTGGCCAACCTGCCGTTCGACTGCCTGCGTATCGCTCCCGTGCCGCGGCCCATCGGCGGCGCCCTGGTCATGGCCACCAACAGCCTGCTCTACCTGAACCAGAGCGTGCCCACGTACGGCGTGTCGCTAAACACCATGACGGAGACCAGCTCCCGCTTCCCCCTCAGTGAGTGGGAGGCGCCTCGGGCGGGCTCGGCCGTGGGTGGGGCTTCAGTGAGTGGGAGACGCCTCGGGCGGGCTCGGCCGTGGGTGGGGCCTCAGTGAGTGGGAGACGCCTCGGGCGGGCTCGGCCGTGGGTGGGGCCTCAGTGAGTGGGAGATGCCTCGGGCGGGCTCGGCCGTGGGTGGAGCCTCAGTGAGTGGGAGATGCCTCGGGCGAGGTCGGTCGTGGGTGGGGGCCGCAGTGAGTGGGAGACGCCTCGGGCGGGTTCGGCCGTGGGTGGGGCCTCAGTGAGTGGGAGACGTCTCGGGCGGGGTCGTCCGTGGGTGGGGGCCTCAGTGAGTGGGAGACGCCTCGGGCGGGCTCGGCCGTGGGTGGGGCCTCAGTGAGTGGGAGACGTCTCGGGCGGGCTTGGCCGTGGGTGGGGCCTCAGTGAGTGGGAGACGTCTCGGGCGGGGTCGGCCGTGGGTCAGGCTCGTGGCGGGCGGTGGGTTGGTGCAGCGGACTGGTGTGACGTCCGATGGCGTCGACTGCTGGGTGGGCTTACTATCTCGCCGTAAAGCTCAGGTGTTGCGCTGTGTAAGTATGTATATGGCAGGGCAGGGATGTACCCTGGTGGGTCTGCCGATGCCGAAGCTGACGCACAGTGCGGTTAAGACCCAATGAGGTCACCCAGCGCATGTCTGCGCCGACATTCGTGCACGGAGGCAAACTTAAATTCTCCCTCCCCTTCTCTTCGCTTTGCCCCATCGTCTCTCTCCGTCACCCGTGCGCCGCCTGGACTCGTGCGTTCCGGCCCGGCAGAGACGCTGGACAGCGTCAAGATGACCCTGGACTGCGCACACTCGGTGTTCGTGACGCCCGACCAGCTGGTGGTGTCGCTGCGCACCGGCGAGCTCTACGTGGTCACGCTGGTGGCCGACAGCATGCGGAGCGTACGCGACTTCAACTTCGAGCGCGCCGCCTCCAGCGTACTCACCACCTGCGTGAGTGTCTGCCCGCGCGGGGAGGGGGGGGGGGGGGGGGGGGTAAGGTCGGGTGTGAGAATGGGGAAAGGGAGCTGGAAGGAGCCATTGTGGACTCCGGTCTAGTGTGTGTGTTGGGAGAGGGGTGGGGCTGTAGAGGGAGGAGGCGTCATGCGGGATGGAAGTGACATGTTAGGATGTGTTAGCGCCCGACGAGTCCACTTTCGCCCTGTTTTGTGTGCACCTTATTGAATTCTCACCACGCCCCAACCGTGACGCTTCCCACTCACCACCCCCGACCGTCCCATGTTCGCAGATGACTGTTTGCGACGACCACTACCTGTTCCTGGGCTCGCGGCTGGGCAACTCGCTGCTGCTGCGCATCCAGGAGAAGAAGGCGCTCGACAGGGACGGCGAGCCACTGAGCAAGCGCCGAAGGACGGACGGTTAGTGCGCTGACCCCGGCAGCTCGGATGGTCCTATTCTCCCATCCTGCCAACCTGGGCGGGGAAACGTTGAATCAACGCATGCCTGGCCCTCTCATCCTGCTACCCTGGGTGTGGAGACGACGAATCAACGCATGCCTGGCCCTGTCATTCTGCCACCCAGGGTGGGGAGACGTTGAATCAACGCATGCCTGACCCTCTCATTCTGCCACCCAGGGTGTGGAGACGACGAATCATTGCATGTCTTACACTCTCATCCTGCCACCCTGGGTATGGAATCGGTTAATCAAACGGTATGTGGCATAGTGGTTCTGCGTTGCCCATTGCGATGCTCCCATCGCAATGTGTGGAAGCTGGCATCAGTCGACGCTGGTGTTTGTTCCGGCCGGACCCATCGTCGCAGACATGCTGTCCAGAGTCTTGTGCGCTTATGTCCATACTACCGCGGTACAGCACGATCTCCGTGCTTCTGCGCCGTGTACGTGACCTCCGCCCTTCTTCCCGGCCAGGGCCCCTCACCAACATCGAGAACCTGGACCTGGAGGAGCTGGAGGTGTACGGGAGCGAGGACATGGCTCAGACGCAACTGAAGCAGTACACGTTCGAGGTACGTGGGCGGTGGCCCGGCGGAAAGCACCGAAGTGTGCGTCAGAGGCGGCGAATGCCGTGACGCTGTGGATTACGTCCTTAACATGTGGCTATATCCTGAGGCTACGCTGCTCACGAATGGAACGCTATATCGTACTCGTTTGAATTTGTATACGGAACGATCTCCGTCTTTGGTCAGTGTTTGCAGTAGCCCATGCGACATTCCAATTCGTATAAAACAGTATCAGCTGGCGCTGCGTGAAATATCGCGCGGTATGAGCGTTCGTAATGTACAGGATCACCACGACAGCGCCGTCGTGTCGTTCCCGTCATACTCAGTCGGCGCAAGCCCTCCTCTGTCACGGTCATACCCAGTCGACGCATGCCTTCCTCTGCCGCACTGATGAGCCAGTGTCCTGATCTGGAGTGTGCGCAGCCAGCCGTGACCACGGTGACCCGCTGGCGGCAGGTGTGCGACAGCATCCTGAACCTGAGCCCGTGCGGCCAGCTGTCCATGGGTCAGCCGGCCTTCCTCTCGGAGGAGTTCACGCTGGACGACCCGGACATCGAGCTCATCACCACCTCCGGCCACGGCAAGAACGGCGCGCTCTCCGTGCTGCAGCGCTCCGTCCGACCCCAGGTCAGCCTCCGCTGCGAGTTCATCGATCCACAGCGCTGACTTCAGGTCATCGGTTCAGAGGTCACTGACCTCAGGCCGGCCTCTGAGAGATCACACGTTCAGGCACGGCCGCTCCAGGTCAGCCGTCTGTGAGAGGTCAGGGCCGGCGCGCGCCGAACTCGAGGACTTAGCAGGAGGCGGCTTTGTGTGCGTTTTGCACCGCATGTGTGGTCCGACGCGCCCGCAAAGCGAGATACGAGCGTCGGGGAGTAACGCCCTGTGCTGGGTGTCTTCCGTCTGCAATATCTCTGTGACTGGCTAAGGCTAGGCCTCCCGCTTTGCTGTCCAAGCGGGGCAGCTGGCGTAGAGTTCCGCCGGGCCTCGCTCTACCCTGGCTGGTAGAGCTCTTTTGAGCTTGGCCCCACCCCAGCTGGTAGAACTCTACCAAGCCTGACTACCATAATTAGTAGAACTACCGGGCCTGGCTTTACTGCAGTTGGTAGAGCTCTACCCGGTCTGACTCTACCCCGGTTGGTAGAGCACTACCCGGCCTCCCTGCCAGACTGCCTCGGCTCCGGCGCCTCTTTGCTTCACCCTCGGCCAGATGACCCGTCGGAGGCCTGCCTCCCCACCGACACCTGACCACCTCCCGCCCCGCACCAGGTGGTGACCACGTTCACGCTGCCGGGCTGTCTGGACATGTGGACGGTGCTGGGCCCGGACAGCGGCGGCGGCGGCGGCAGCGGCGAGCAGCACGCCTTCCTCCTGCTCAGCCGCCCCGAGGCCACCATGGTGCTGCAGACGGGCGAGGCCATCAACGAGCTGGACAAGAGCGGCTTCCAGACGGCGGCGCGCACCGTGGCCGCTGGGAACTTGGGCGAGCGGCGCTACATCGTGCAGGTGGGCTGGCGGCCGGCCGAGCGCGCCGTGGACCCCACCCGGTGGTTTTGGCTCCGCTTGGAGGCAAGCACGCGTGTGGTTGGGTGTGTCAAGTGATGCGATGGTGCTGCGCCGCACGCTGTTGAAGTACCGACGACCGCCGTCGCCGATGCCGCCGCAGTATGACGTCATAACCGCCGGCGTCACGGACGGCGCCACTGACCAGGGTGACCTCGCCGCCTCTGCGCGCGCAGGTGACAACAGCCGCCGTGCTGCTGCTGGACGGCTCCACGCTGGTGCATCAGGTGGACGTGGGCCTGGAGGCGCCGCTGGCGGCGGCCTCTATCGCCGACCCCTACGTTGTCGTTTGCTCGGAGAGCGGAGAGGTGGCGCTGGTGTCGCTGGACGATAGTCGCCTGGTGCTGACGGTGCCCGACATCGACACGAAGGGTGAGGGCGGGAAAAGGTGCCGTATGTGTGACGTTCTCAGCCTGGAGCTGGTATCGTTTGTGCCGTGAGTTATGGACGACAAAGAGCAACGAATAGTTCCAGTGCACGTGAATCTGTGATCTAGTGTTCTTCCATAAAGCTATTCTCTGGCTTCCTCATTTCGATGCTAGATAATTTTGGGATGTTTTGTTAAGCTTCACATGCGCGGGCAGATAGGTGGTGCATGTATGCTTGTGTAAAGGCGTGTGCAGTACGTAAATGACATCCCGTTTTGTCTCCTTACCTTTACTTCGTGCTTTTAGCACCGAAGGGCAGCGCTCCGTGGAATAACCCGCGCGATTTCCCAATCACCAGGAATAATCGCATCACTGATGAATCGCGGAAAACAAATCATGATTTTCCTGAATCTCGGCGAGCTTTCATACGAACCACATAAAGCATACCTTTGCATCGCATGGGATGACCTGGCACGGTGTCCTGCACCTGCCGCTGAGCCGCCGCCATCTGTCGTCACCGTGCGCGGGCCGCCCGCAGACGTGGTGCTGGCCTCGGCGTTCGTGGACAGGAGCGGCCTGTTCAGCACCGCTGTGCCCTCCTACATCCGGGACATTGACGAGCAGCTGGCCGGCGTCGCGGACAAGCAGCCGACCGACGAGCAACGCAAACAGTACGGCTTGCCGTCTCCTCTCCAGCACCGCTGTGGGGCCCACCGGTGCCGGGGTGGGGCCCGCTGTGACCGCTGTGTGGGCCCGCCGGGACCACCGTGGAGGCCCACCAGGACAGCCGTGGGCGCGCACTGGGACCTCTGTTGTGGCTGATCAGGGCATCCCTAGCCGCTTCGTAAAGCGGCGCAGTATCGAATGGCGCGGGTTTCTTGTTGGCTGAACTCGGCGCAGTCAATACCAGCCGTGAGGTTTGGTGTGTTTGAGCTGTTCTTTATCCCATCACGTTCCTGCGAGTTCACGAGCGAGCCTTTGTCGTAGTGGGTGCCGTGACGGGTGCCGCTGCCGCCAGGGAGCTGGACGACGAGGACGAGATGCTGTACGGCGAGTCGGCCGCCTCCATGTTCGCCCAGCTGTCGGTGGAGGCCAGCCGGCCGGACGGCGCCGCCCCGCCCAGGTACGCCCCATCCCGCCCCGCCCAGGTACGCTCCGTCCCGCTCCGCCCCGCTCAGGTTCGCGCCGTCCCGCTCCGGCCCGCCCAGGTACACCCAGTCCCGCTCCTGTGCGCACCACCGACCCCCCCCCCCCCCCGCGCCCGCTCGTGCTGCGCTCTCGTGACTGAGAGGTGGCCTGTTTAGGAGCGCTCCAGACCGGCCGCTTGAGCCGCTGATGCCGGACTGGGGTCCCCCTGGCCAGCTGGAGAAGCGGTGTGGACGCTCTTTAGCCGCTGGCCCTCCGGGACATCTGCGATCCGTACCTGAATCTTACGGCTATGGCGACCTCTCGTGGGCAAATGAAACGTGGTGGAACATAGATGCAAGCCGTGAGTGTCGATACAATGCAAACAGCACAGTCCCATCAGTCAGTCGTACAGTACAAACATGCACTGCAAGTCACACGAGTCACGCAGTCTAGCGGGACCGGAAGGAGCGCGTGTGAAGAAGCTTGTGTGTGTGTGAAGGGCGTTGTGACTCCGGCGTGGGCGGCGTGTGGGACTGATGTCGCCTCGGGCGGCGGCTGACTAACAGCGGAGGAAGCCACAGAAGTGCGGACGGCGACGCGTCATGTGCCAGATCACTCGTCGGCGCCTGTCATTGCCACCCTCAGGCTGTGCCCGCGTCCTGGTGTCGGCGCCCGTCTGGATTGCTGTCGGCCGCATAGCTACCGGAGACTGACCTGTGTCGTTTGGTGGCTGTGTGCTGTGTCAGAACGTGTCTGCGACTTGCACGTACACTGCTGTCGCGCCGTGAGCGGCGGCTTCCGCTGCAGCACCCGGCTCCACTCCCGCATCATCACTCTCACCCCCCCCCCCCCGCACCGGCAGCTGGCGGCGGTGGCGCGAGACGCCGGCGGCGACGCCCTGGGTGCTGCTGGCCTACGGTAGCGGCGACGTGGCGCTGCTGTCGCTGCCCGACTTCCGTCCGGCGCTGGTGCTGCGCGGCCTGGCGCACGGCTGGACCGTGATCGGCCACGACGAGCCGCAGCCGCAGCTCGAGTGAGCAGCGGGACAGGACGGGGACGGGGACGGGGACGGGGACGGGGACCGGGACCGGGACCGGGACCGGGACCGGGACCGGGACCGGGACCGGAACGGGACGGGACGGGGACGGGGACGGGTTGGCAGAAGCGCGGGAAATAACGGCCAGTTGGACGCGGACTTCTAACTTTTAGCGGAATGCATGCACAGTGGAACATCCGGGACGTCTTTTTTTACAACAGGGCAGTTAAAGACATCGCGTTGCCGTCGTGCTGGCGGGTGGCTCACTTCTGGGAACTGCTGATCGTTAGTTAGGTGTGTATGTCAGGAGACGCGCTCTTCACCCCGCTGAGTATTGCGGAATCTGTGTTGCCCCACAATCGACCGTGCTCCATATTCGCCCCCCCCCCCCCTCTGGGTGCGTCCCGTCGTCCCGCGTCACACCTCGGCGCCGATGTTGCAGGGGCGAGGCGGCACGGCCACCGCCCATCCGCGAGCTACGCCTCTCGTGCCTCGGCTACCGGAAGTCGCGGCCGGTGCTGACCGCGCTCGTCGGCGAGCAGCTGCTCATCTACGAGGTGTTCCCCTGCTACGCGCTGCCCGAGAGCCAGCTCAAGGTCAAGCTGCGCCGAGTCCAGCATGACATCATCATCCGCACCAGGAAAAGGTCGGGGAGGTGACAGCTGATGGTGGTTTGGTGGTTTGGTGTCCGGTTGGAGCGTCGATGTTGTCGGGAAGGTTTCCGGGCGTTAGGAAGGCGTGCCTTATTATTGTTAGGTAATAAAGCAATGAAACAATTTCACCAACCTTAGATATCAGCCTGCTGTGTCATATTGGCACCGGCCGGCAGTGTTTTTACCCTCGCCTCGCTACGACTGATAACATGGAGTGAGCTAGCGGATGCTGAGGTCAGTCACAGCTAGCTGGGATGACTTATTCGTGATGAGGTCTGTGCGTCTCTCGGATACCAGGGCGTAAAATGACCTCCACCGTCGGTACGTCTAAGCCACAATCATCGCCATCGTCATCTCCTCCTCTAAGATCCCACCCCGTCTGACGTCCCCGTCCGTCTGTTCGCAGCAAGACGCGTCCGATGGCCGACGCCGAGCCGGGCGCCCCCGGCCTGCTGCGGGAGTTCACCAACGTGGCCGGCTTCGACGGGGTGCGTAGGCCGCTGGCGTCGGCTCCGGGCAGACGCGGGGCTGGTCTGAGCGCTGGGGATCCCATCTCAGCATCAGAACACTTCCAAAGCCTCGATCCGCCTCCGATATGCCTCGTGCCGGCTGTGAGCCTTATTTGTCACCGGTTACCCTCTGATGCCCGGGTGGTCACCGGGTATGCTCGGCTACCGGCACCGGGTCTGACCCTTCGATGTTTTGTCGCGCGGTGGCGCTGAGACCATCGTCGTCGTTGCCGCAGGCACCTATCATTGCGTGGTCGCATGTAGCCAGTTTGGGGTTTCTGGCAAGCGATTGGTTCCCTTTTTATGCTGGTGCACCGGGCGTTACCTCAGTCACCCTGTTGCCAACGGACCCCTTCTGATCAATACTGACCGTCTCGGACCATGCATGACCATGTCTGACAACGTCTGTCATCGTTTGCTGACCACGCCTCACCGTCTCTGACCATCTCTGACCGTTGTCTGACCGCCTCTGACCACTTGTGAGTGCCCCTGACCATCGCCTGACCACACCTGACCACCTCTGACCGTCTCTGACCATCGCCTGACCACGCCTGACCACCTCTGATCACTTCTGACCACCTCTGACCGTCTCTGACCACCTCTGACCGCCTCTGATCACCGCCTGACCGCTTCTGACCACTTCTGACCACCTCTGACCGTCTCTGACCACCTCTGACCACCTCTGACCACTCATGACCTCCTCCGACCTCGCCGGACTGCCCCCGGGGCCTGTCTGACGCCGCCTGGCCCGGCAGCTGTTCCTGTGCGGCCCGAACCCGCACTGGATCCTGATGACGACCCGCGGAGAGCTGCGCTTCCATCCCATGACCATCGACGGCCGGCTCAAGAGCTTCGCCAGCTTCAACAACGTCAACTGCCCGCAGGGCTTCCTCTACTTCAACAAGGAGGTGGGCGGTCGCAGTGCTGTGGAGGCGCTCCGCCCGGTTTGCATTAGACTGGAGCGGCTGGAGGCGTCAGCGGTCGGATGTGGCCATGTTCCGACGGTTATTTTGTCAGGCGCGTCGGCTTGTGCACGCTCCGTCCACCTGTTGAATGCAGCTGCTGTTGTGACGTTTCCTTGGCACCAGTTCACCCGGCGCCTGGTCGTCAGAATTTATTGCACTGTTGTTTTGGTGGGGGGCGATTGTTAAGCGGGGGGTGGGGGGGGGGGGGAGGGGAGAGGGCGGAATTTGGCACACCCTTGGCTTTGTTGGTTAGCTGGGATGGACGTAAGGTGCTGACTCGAGACCCAGGTAACAGCAGAGTAATTGTGACTTCGAACTGCAGCATAATGGGGCGCCATCTGCAACTTCCTTGCTGGTCTCTTGATCGTCCGTGACCTCGCAAGCGTCCACTGTATGGATTGGTGCGGACAAAAATAGTTGTACAGGCTTGTCCAGCGTACTGTCTTTGCCATCGCAGCATTGGCTTTCATTTCTTGACCGGTCGCACTCATTCGATTTCGTCGTCTCCATAACCATCCTCCCGCTATTACCCCTATCTCTATGGCTTTGCGACCGCTGAGCTATCCCCTACGGTGCCGCCGCCCCCTGCCCCTCCCCCTCCCCGCCACCCAGCTGACTGTATCTGCCTGTCGGTCGGCGTCTCCTGTCCACCCGTCCCGCCGGCTGGCCGCCGCTGACGCCGGCTCAGCAGCGCCCGACGTCATGGCCAGGATGGCGGCTCAGCTGCTCAGACGAAAACACGGGCAGAGCGGCGCGCGCAAAGGACCGGTTCACACGCTGACTGGCCGTGTATTGGCACGAGTGGGCAGAGACACGTGGTGACGCGCGTGCGGACGAAGGACCCAGTAAGCTGCGGTTAGCCAGCTATTAGATCTGCTGCCTGCAGCATTTCGTGGTTCCCCGCTCCGACTATGTTTAATTGAAAAGCAGTTGTGGTTGCGTGAACGTCTTTTTGCGCTACGTAGTTACCATACATTTCATCCTGTCCAAGATAAGCGTAACAGCTTAAGATGGTGGACACATCTTTTGGGTTAGATGCTCGTTACACTATGCATGCCATTCATTTCAAGATATGTTACCCGTTCGCGCGTAAAACCCGCCTCTCAAAAATCGCTGACTCATTACTCACAGCCTTGTCACACCCAAAGCTCTCCACGTCAGAGCGACGCGCGCGCACGAGCGCCGGTTCCTCGCACTACGTGTACAGGGTCTGCTCGATGTAGCATGACGTCATCACCACCTCGGTGGGCGCCAGCCGCATCCGACTGCGCGCCTTCTTGCTGCGACTGCCGGCCTCCTCCTCCTCACACCGCTTCCGACTCTGGGCGGCCGCCGCGGCGGCGCCGTGTCCGCCGGCGGTGGTGTCCGCGCCGGCGTCCGGCCGTGTCCGCGGCGCCGTGTCCGGCGGCGCGGCGAGGCGTGGCACGGCCGGCGATGGCGGCGCGGCGGGCGGCGGCGCGGCCGGCCGGCGCCGCGACCAGGGCATGTCGCCGAGGCTCAGTGAGCGCATCTGGTGCACCAGAGAGCGCAGACGCTTGCTGGCCGGCTCCCAGCCGTCGGCCGCCTGCAGCAGGACACGGCCCGGCCGTCAGCGGCACACGCGGGGTGGGAGGATGCGACCCGCCGACAAACGCGCGGGCTGGCTGGAGCGGGTGAGCGGGGGCATTTGCCAGACGCAGGGGCAGTGGGCCTTGGCGGCCATGAAGTTGGTACGCTGGAGCGACTGGGGTTCCCAGAACACCGCCACAGGGTACGCAAACTCTGGCCGAAATGGGCGCTGGGTGGACCAGCGCCAACGGCTCTCTAAAGCCCATCAATCACCTCGGCTCGGGCCCTGAGCATTCTCAGAGGCACGGGCTCAACCAGGTTGCACTGAAACAAGTCGAGCGCAGGGAAATTGTGGCGCAGAGATGTTGTGACGCTCAGGGGACAAAGGCGCAACGTGATATAGCTAGAACCATGAAAAGTCTGGTGTTCTACCTGGGTATTTCGAGCATGCACTGAACGAGGCGCATGCAACGGTAGTCCTGGTCTTCTATGGGGCTCGTGTAAGTTTTAAAACTTTGCGGGACTGCGACAGCCTGAGAAGCAAATGGCTGGCAAAAACAGACGGACTAAATGAAGTGAAACAGTGGGAAATACGCCAGTTAGATGCCGTATGATGCAGTGGGGAACACAGCCGTTAGATGGCGGTGGTGCAGTTCGAGAGTATGTGAATCCGTGAGCGTTGCCTGAGTGATTCTCAGTACATGAGCGACTGTTCTCGTCAAGGCCACGCCCATAAAAAGACAGCGTTAACCGTCCTTGTAACAGGGAGCTGCGGTGTGTCCGACGCTGTCTTTGGGTTTTGGTTTACCCTTATTTGCGAACATGTTGTATAAAGGCGCGAAATGACAGTTATCACCACAGTCCAGCCATTGTCTACAGGCTGCATCATCCTCCTGGCACAGAGCGGTCGGAAAATGGCCATCGCTGCGGACGTTACGTCGGCGCTAATAACCAGCCGACGACAAAACGTTTGACGTTCGGTGACGACCAATCACGACCGGAGCGGCAGTCAGCACCACGGTGTGGTGCATCGTCGCTGCGCCTGCCCGGGGTGTTGGGCGGCGTCGCTCACCTGGCCATGGGCGCCGTCCTCCCGGACGCTGGCGCTCCTCTTCCTGCCGAGCTCTGTCATCGCTGCGACGCGTTGGGGTCGTCGGCCGCTGCCATGCGGCCCGCTCCGCGCCGCCGCTGCACCACACGGACGCTTCCTCGCGTGCAGCGGAGCTCTCCGGTCCGCTGAGTGCCGCTCGACGGCTGCTGACCTCGGCTGACCTCTCGAGCCGTCCGGTCCGTCGGGCTCGCTCCGGCGGCCCTGTAGCGCGGCGTGGACAGCTGGGTGCCTCTGACGCCCGCCAAGGTCGCAGCGGCGCCCCTGTAGCGGCCGCCGGCCGTGGCGCGCCGCCAGACGGGACGAGTATTTTTAGCGGCGGTGCCCCGGCCGTCCCGCTGCTCTGCAGACGGCCCGGCATGCAGAGGCGCTGCTCTCGGTGATCGATCGACCCTCCGGACTGGACTAGCCGCTGGCGGCTGCTCGGTTCACCGCCCAGCGCACTCTCCCAGCTGTTAGTGTTTAAGCCTTTGAGCGGCGGCGACCTCGCCGCCCCCAGGTGGTGTGGGACCTGTCGGGTTGTTTGGGGGCGCGGACCCGCAATACCTGGTCAGCTGCTGGTATCAACGCCGCGTGGCCGAGCAGCGTGGCGTCGCCCGTGTCACCCTCTCCGCCGCGTGCGGAGATACGCGCTGGCTGTGGGACATTCCGCTTGGGGACCAGTCGTGGTGGCCAGCCCCGTTTGCCGACGCGTTTCTGCATGCTAACGGTGGCTTGAGGCTCGCGCCGACCGCAGTCAGCTGGCGGGCGGCGCCGTTCCCCGCCGCCTCAAAGGAGCCGGCCGTCCGCCGCCGCGCGCCGAAGTGTGCGCCCCTGTTTCACGGTAGACCGTCCGTGGTTGTTGCAGCTGAGGACTCCGTTGATCCTCTACGGAACAAATACACCGCCGCCGCGTCACCGAGCCTCTGCTGTTTTACAGCCGTACTTTGCGGCCGTTCTCAAGCGAAATCGTCGTGCGATCTCCTGAATGGAATGTCCGTCGTCCTTGTCGCGCGGAAAACCCGCTGGGCGTTCCGGCGCTCCCCCGCGGGTACTTCCGTGGACGCCTCCGGCGCGATTTCAGAACGCAACGGCCGGCACTGTCGCAGCGTGAAATGTCAGCCACTGTCGCAGCGTGACGTGTCGGCCACTGTCGCAGCGAGACGTATCGGCCACCGTCGCAGCGTGCCATGTCGGCCATTGTCGCAGCGTGACGTGCCGCCACTGTCGCAGCGTGACGTGCCGGCCACTGTCGCAGCGTGATGTGCTGCCACTGTCGCAGCGTGCCCGGCGACGCCTCCGCGGTCGGCTCCGAGCCCGAGCCCTGCCCTGTCACGTGGTCTCGGGACGCTGCAGGGCGAGATGCGGATCTGTGTGCTGCCGCCGCACCTGCTGTACGACGCGCCGTGGCCCATCAGGAAGGTACCGCTGCGCTGTACGCCGCACATCATCTGCTACCACCTGGAGACCAAGACGCACCTGGTCTGCACCTCCAACGCGCAACCCTCCATGAAGGTTTACAAGTAAGGCGCCGCTCTGCTCGTCGCTGCCGGCGTCCGGCTCCCGTCCGGAGATCGTGGTTTTTGTTTTATTTTTTAGACTTGGGGGAGGGACGCACATCGAAGCGTATCGGAGCAGCCATGTGGTCTCGCGACATGCGCGCGCCAGCGTTTATCCTACAAAGCAACACGGTTTGTAAGGTGCTGCTTTCGCCCACTCAAATCCCGCCTGCTTTTACCTGAAAGCTTGCGGTGGAGGCGCTTCCATTTTTGAAAAGCATATTTCTGTTTCGTGGACTAAGTTTCCTGAGCTAGAAGAGTAGCATTGTACATTACCATCAGCCCGGTCTCGGTCGGTGTTCTGCCACAACTGGCCGTCCGCCAGCACCGCGTGGCGGGCCGGCAGCAGGCCTGCTTCGGGCGGCTCCCCGCGGGCCCACGTGACGCAGATGTCGCCACCGTCGCCAGGTTCACCGGCGACGACAAGGAGCTGAGCGTGGAGGACCGCGGCGAGCGCTTCCCGTACCCGTACCAGAAGGTGTACACCATCCAGCTGTACTCTCCCGTCTCGTGGGAGGTACGCCGCCCGGCCGCGTACCCTGCTCACCGCGCCACACAGTCCGCTCGGCGTACTGTTCACGGGGCGTCGCGTGGACGCGTGGGCAGCGACGCGGCGTGGCGTGGCGCTCGCCCGCCCTCGCGCGGGAATATCGCGGTGGTCGTCACAGAAAGGCGGGAATCGCTGACGTCATCATGCGCGGCAATGTCAACCAGCCGGTCGCCGCAGCCGTTGGGATGTTCTGTGCGTGGGAACTGGGGATGCATCATGCTTGCGTGGAGCGGTCCGTCTCGCACCGAAGAGGTGAGCAGCGAGATGGGAAGGATTGACCGTCACCTTTCCGTGCCGCCGCCCGCCAGCCGGTGCCGAAGGCGCTGATGGAGTTCGAGGAGTGGGAGGTGGTGACGGTGATGAACAACGTCAGCATCAACTACGAGGGTCACAGGTCCGGCCAGCGCATGTACATCGCCGTCGCCACCAACCACAGCTACGGCGAGGACGTGGTCTGCCGTGGCAAGGCGAGTAATGGGGTGCAGGCCGGCCGCGGCGGCGGAACTGATGCGAGTGCTTTATCCTGGGGTCAGGAGCGCAGTAAGCGGTGTAGCGCATTGAAGCGGATGATGAATGTCTTGAGTTGTTCGTGTTTGATCTGCTTTCACGCAAGCTGGTTTAACAGTTCGCTGTCAAGCAATGCGCGAAGCTTGATCGTTATCATCCGCGGTAGCATAGCAGCGATAGCAGCGCAGCAAGGTTAAGGTTTGGTTTGGTTTGGTTTGGTTTGGTTTGTTGTCAAGGTTAAGCAGTTCGTCAAAAGTCATGGTGAGTTACCTGCCCATACTCCGTTGAGTCGGTTTGCCCGGTCATTGGTCTCACGCTGGTCCCGTTACACGACTGCGCCGTTACGTGCGTGCTGCGGTGTACCCCGCTGGCGCATACGCTGCTGTGTAGTACGTTGGTGTGTGCGCTGCCAACATCCGTCTGATGTTGTCCACCGTTAACAGCTGTCGTTGTCGCCGCCGTGTACTACGTTGTGCACCGTTATTATCGGTTTCGCGGCGCGCCCCGTGAGCGTCCCTCTCGCTGTGTGCGCCGCTGACGTCCGTCCCCCTGTGCCGCGCGCAGCTGATGCTGCTGGACGTGATCGAGGTGGTGCCGGAGCCGGGCCAGCCGCTGACCAAGAACAAGCTGAAGGTGCTGCTGACCAAGGAGCAGTCGGCGCCGGTCAGCGCCATCAGCTCCGTTGCCGGCTATCTGCTGGGCGCCGTCGGCCAGAAGGTGAGCATGTTCAGTGCTCGTGGTCTGCTCGGCTACGCCCCTCCTTCCCGTTTACTGACCTCCTGTTGTTGTCCCTACCGGGGTCGGTCGGTCAAGAGTTGAGACACAGAATGGTCTGTTCTCCCTTCCCTCCTTCTGACCCTCATCCATCCCAGCATATGGTGCGCATGTCTGTCTCCTCAGTACATGACTGTCGAAACATTGCTAGGGTGGTACACGTGATGAGACATGCACTACCATCATGTGATGACTGCTTCATTGCTAGTTGGTGCTTTCGAATATTCTCGGTCCCTGCTCATATTTGGTCCGCTGATCTTTCCCTGAAGCCGCATGAACAGATGACCGAAAGGAATTTAGCGCGGCCACTTGACTGCATTGTCTCTGGAGCTAATTTGAATGGCAAATGCGACACATCAGTAGCTGTCCGTAACTGGGCGACGGAGGCAATGCTGCCAGCTGCTCCTCCGGCAGCCACACTTGGCTTGTGTCGAGACGTTGACTGGTCTTCGGGCCGACCGCCTTGTCCGCTCTGGAGACACGCCACGAAGGGCTGCATGACCAGGCTGCCTGGCCCAGGTCGCCCTTATGTTTCGTCATCCAGATCGCCGTCGTCACAGCGTTAATAAGCCCAACCGTCCTCGTCACCAGGTGTTCGTGTGGACGGTGAAGAACAACGATCTGGTGGGCGTGGCGTTCATCGACTCGCAGGTGTACATCCACCAGCTGCGCTCCATGAAGAACTTCATCATGGCCGCCGACGTGTGCAACTCGGTGTCGCTGCTGCGCTTCCAGCAGGACTTCCGCACCATCTCGCTGCTGGCACGCGACTTCAAGCCGCGCGACATCTACGCCGTCGAGTATCTGATAGACAACACGCAGGTCGGGTGAGTGACGGACCGAGACAGCACGCAGGTCGGGTGAGTGAAGGACCGAGACAACACGCAGGTCGGGTGAGTGAAGGACCGAGACAACACGCAGGTCGGGTGAGTGAAGGACCGAGACAACACGCAGGTCGGGTGAGTGGCGGGCCGAGACAACACGCAGGTCGGGTGAGTGGCGGGCCGGCTCGGCCGTCGGCGGCAGCTGGCGAGGACAGCGTGCCAGGTCTGCCGGCCGGGGCGCTGCGGTAGTCCCCCGGAGCGACGGGCGGGGTACACGCCGCGGTGCTTTCACACCTGGCGTGTCGACGTGGCGGCGCTGTCAGCGGAAGCTGCTGCAGAACACGGCGGTGGTAAGCCGCCTGCCAGGCGACTCGTTTCACTACCGAAGTAGTTTTCAGCGTCTCGGAAGCTGGTCGACAGAGCTAGGTATAAGGCGGCTTCCACTGATGCTTGGAGAAGAGCCTGCCACATGCTACATGCGTGGTTTGCTTGGCCGTGGCAAGCCTCTGCCCTGGATGGCGCCCTGGACCGGTGCCTCAGTCGTGAGGCACGCTTCTCCTCCCGGCAGGTTCCTGGCGACGGACGCCGAGGCGAACCTGATCGTGTTCCTGTACCAGCCGGAATCGCGAGAGAGCGGCGGCGGGCAGCGGCTCATGCGTCGCGCCGACTTCCAGGTACCCTCGCCGGGCGGACGGGGCTCTCAGGCACTGAACAAACGCTGGACAGTCACAGGGGCGGGCACAGCACCTCCAGCTACAAACGCTGGGAACTCGCAGGCTGGGACACAGCACTTTCAGGAACAAGGAGGATATTACAGGGCATAGACACGGAACACATTTGGAGTCAAACACGACAACACTCCGAAGTACGAACACGGAACACCTAGGTACGAACATGGGACATTCCCAAATGCGAACACGGAACATTCTCAAGTACGAACACGGAACACTCAAGTGCGAACACGGAATACTCCCAAATGCGAACACGGAACGCTCTCATGTACGAACACGGAGCACTCCCAAGTACGAACACGGAATACTCCCAAGTACGAACACTGAGCACTTCCACATACGAACACGGAACATTCCCAAGTACGAACGCTGAACACTCCCAAGTACGAACATGGAACACTTCCAGATAGGAATATAAACATTGTGTATTTCCCTGTACTAGCCACCGACTGGACAGTTGTGGACCTCACCGAACAAGTGTTGCACAATCGCACGCAACTCCAAGTGCTCGCCAGCACAGTGCACAGCTTCAGCCATGCCTGACGTCCCTTGGAAGGGGTGCTGTTTGTTCTCAGCGGGACCCTGGCCTCAGGGACCGGCGATTTAGCTTCGAGTTTTGACTGATGTAAGAGACGGGTCAAAGGCCTGTGCTGGTTGCATGTATCACATCGCGCCGCGATGCGATCCATGTTTTATTCACTTTGGGTGTCGGCGATCTCACGCAGGACTGGCGGCATTCACGGCTTGTGTCGCCGTATCCCGACTTGCCTGTCTTGCTTCACGCAAAATTGAAAACAAAAACAAAAACAAACCAAAAGTGACTAATAAGAACTAATAAGTGTTTATAAAAACTAGTACGACTTCATTCTAAGATGTTGTCCTGCTGGATTGCGTTAGAATTGCGCGGCAGTACACAGATATTGTCATTCCGGTAGTGACCTACGGAAGTAGCTGCACACGTTGAACGTCACATCACGTCCCGCACCGTGACCGGAGTGGAACCCGCTCCCCCTCCCCCTCCCTCCCGCCGTCTGACGGCCGCTCCCGTGCCTGGCAGCTGTGCTCCCGCGTGTCGACCATGACGCGCGTGCGGTGCCGACTGAAGGACACCTCCGGCGAGAGGAAGCATCCGCCCATTGTGGCCAAGCGTCACATGACCGTATACGGTGAGGGCGGACGGCCGCCGCGCCGTCGGTGGCGCCCGGGTAGGCACGGTGAAAGCCCCGACCGCTGGACCAACGGGGTGGGTGCGGCCGCCGCTGTTCCGCATGGGGGTATGGACTACGTGTTTGGGTGTAGGGTCGTGTCCGCTGCAGTGGCCATCATGCGCTCAGTCCGGGCCAGTTTGAACGTGAGCGAGAGCCGCTGGATAGAGTCGGCGGTGTGCCCGGTGCAGGCGGTGGGGTAGGGTGGCAGAGACGCACAGCAGCTCGTGCCACTCACAAACACGTGAGAGTAACAACCTGATTGTCGTACATAATTTGCATGGAAGGAAATCGTCTACCGATGATTAAATGCAGGAGCGGGTGGGTCCGAGTGGGTTCGGCATCGCAACCACCGAATCACGAGGGGACGGCGCGGCGCTGACTCACCGCTTCACCCACGACCTGAGTGCGACCTGATCTGTGACCTGACCCGACCCGTGACCCGATGGTCGCCCGGCAGCCTCGCTGGACGGCGGCCTGGGCTTCCTGCTGCCGCTGCCGGAGAAGACGTACCGGCGCCTGCTAATGCTGCAAAACCTGCTGACGTCGCAGCTGCCGCACCGGCTCGGCCTCAACCCGCGCTCGTTCCGCACCTACCGCAGCCAGCGGCGCGAGCTGGCGCCCCCGGCGCGGGGCGTGCTCGACGGCGACCTCGTGTTCTCCTACCTGTCAATGCCGACGCCGGAGCGGCACGACGCCGCGCGCCGCGTCGGCTCGCGGCCGGATGAGATCGCCGACGACCTGACCGAGGTCAGCCGGTACACGGCCCACTTCTGAGCGGGCGCTGGCGGCGGCCGGCCGGCGGTGCGCGCGTGGGGGACGTCGGAGCGGCAGCCGGCAGTGCGGGGGGCGTCGGAGCGCGGTGTTCCTCCGAGGGGGCAGCTGTGACCGGACGGGCTTCTGACAGCGCGTGTCGTGAGAACGCCCGCGGCTGCCGGTATGAGGAGCTGACGCGGTGGGAGCAGCCGCGGACCCGACAGGCCACGCTCGTCTGTCCGCTGGGCGTGCTCGGCGGTCTCGGCTGGGTAGCGAGGCTGTTCGGCGTGTTCGCCGCCGTCCCGTCAGCAGTGATAGCGCCACAGGGGGCTCGGGCCGCCAGTCAGCCGCCTTCCGCGGGACCTTCCGTCGACCGGGACGTCCGCGCCCACCGGTGGTCCTCGGACGGCACTGCCGTCAGTCCGGCGGTAGCGTGTCTGGAGGCCGCGGTGTCGGCGGCCACACGACGGGCGCTGACCGTGCTTCATTCGACCATCCTTCGTTGTCATGTTACGCGTGTACATATACACACCGGATATCATCGTCTGGTGTATTGTTTAAGAGATTATTCTGGGCGGCCGGCGGCGGCGCCGGCGCGCGGGACGGCCGGGGCGGTGGCGGCGGCTGCGCTGGCGGTGCAGCTGCCGCCGGCGCGGCCCCGTCGGTGGCGCGCCCGATCAGCGGCGGAACGGGCCGGCGGAATGTGTCACACAACCAGCGTCACGGGCACAGCAGGCCCGCAGAACAGCTACCAGGGAAGAACCCGTCCGCAAAACAGCCGCCACGGAGCTGCCACAAAACGGCCATAGGTGCGGGAACGCGCTGTTAACGCGGCGTCGCCCGCACCTCCTAACACAGCTGCCACCGCGAGCATCGCCACGAAATACCTGCCCAGGCGAGATGGCGTACGGTACCGGACAAAAGCAGCGGCTAAAGAAGCACGTGACGGAATGAGTAAGTACCAAGGCCTATTGGTGACGTCTAGTAGTCCTCTCATATCACAAGTGGAGACACCGGCAGATTCCGACGACGACCATCCGTAACTGCTGGTCATATAGGCCACGGGAACGTTCCCTACAGACGAGTCACTACACAGCAGCGCTTTTGGTCCCAACATCCTCTCCGTTCGTTTGGGCGGTCGGCGGCGGCGGCGGCATCGCTCCGTGAGGTGGGCGGGGCTGGCCGGAGCCCGATCACGCATGGTCGACAACGCACTCGACGACGCCGCCCGTCCACGTAAAGCTAATAAAATCCGACAACACGCCGCCGCCCTCCTTTTCCGGCCGGCTCGCCTCGTCATACAGTAAAACCCGCCGTTGATAGTCATAGGTAGCGCTCGCACCTGCACAACCAGCTCTAGCAGCGCGTCGTTACAACAGCACGCGCCGGGGACGGCCGGGCATCGGCAGAGCGGAGGACGCTCGCACCACGGTGGCGGAGCGTCCCGGCCGCCCGCCGACCGACCGACCCCACAGCAGCCGTGCGGAAGACAGGGGCGGCCCGATGGGTCCCGCCCGCCTCTCAGGGTCACCGAGAGGTGGGCGGGACCCACCCGGCCTCCGGTGGTGCCCAGCACACACCATATGTACATAACTCACGTCCATCACGCACCAGACGTGCAGAACCATTGTCAGTCACACCAGACGTACATAACTCGCGTAGGACACGTACGCACGCACCAGACGCACATAACTTTCATCAGTCGCATACCAGACTTACGTAACTAGCATCAGTCACACACCACCTGCACGTAAGAAGCATCAGTCAAGCACCGCGCCGCTGCGTCGTCCACACTGACGTCACTGACGGCGCTGAAACACATGTCCGAGACCGTGGCTACCAGAGCTGCTCAAAAGGGAATGGCTGCAGCGGCTCCTTGTTCGTGCCCCGCCAACGGGCGCGACAGACAGCCCGGCGAGGCGGCAGCGGCCAGCCGCGCCTGTCGCCGACGACACACCGCGTGGACCGGAACTGGGCGGCGAAATACATCGGCGCGTTCAGCATAACAACCAACAGAGCTGCGCAATGGAAGGAGCGGGCACGACTTTCTGCTCGCGCCAAGTTCAAAAGGCTCATGATCGGCCGGCAAAAGTTGGCCAGGCATCAAAAGGCTGGCACCACGGCGCCTAATACGGTCGGGACCGTTCTCGGTGGCACTCACACCTGTTCTGCTTGCAGGCGCGGTACCAGTGACGTAATCGTCAGAGGTGCGACCCCAGTGACGTCATCGCGCAGACGCACATCTCCAGTGACGTCACTGCCAACGTGGCACAACCGGCGGTGTCACTCCTCCGAGTCGCGCCGCTGGTGACGTCACCCCTCAGGAATCCAGCACAAGTGACGTCACTCCCGAGAAATGCACCACGGCGGCGGCGGCGGCGGCAGAGGAATGCACCAATGTGGTACAACCGGCGGCGTCGCTGCCCGGGATCGCAGCACCAGTGACGTCACCCAGCGGCGCCACGCCTCTCCGCCGCCGCTCGGTGGCGCCGCATCTCCCCCGACACCAGCCAGGAGCGCCGGAGCGGCGGCCCGCTCCAGCCGCGGGCGGCGGCGCGCCTCACAGGTGGAGCACGCCGTCGGAGCGGGAGGCCAGCAGCGAGATGTCGTCGCCGTCGTCGGAGCTGCGCGACGTGTGGGCCGAGTGGGCCGACGCGCGGCTCAGCTGGGAGGTGCGCGCGCTGCTGCCCCGCTCCGCCTCCAGCGGGTAGCGCTGGTTGGCCGGCTTCACCGTCACGATCAGGTTCGACGAGTTGGCCACCATCATGTCAGTCACCTGGAGACAGTGTGGTCGTCATCATCATCATCGGAACCAAGTGACACGAGCATATGTTGATCAGTTACCGCCCCTCTGGGGAGGTATGACAGGGGGGGTGGGGGAGTGGATCTCATGTTGCGTAGCAGTTCGTGCGAGTCACGACATGCCTCGGGCGATTACATGCGACGTTCATCGGATGGTAAACATCAAGTGCAGGTCAGGAGCCTGCGAATAACACAACCGCTCGTCGTGGCCTTGGAACATGTGACATGCCACCGCCCTGCGATGGATGGAGACAAGGCAAACACACCGCAGATAAGACCGGATGTACGCCGACAAGACTGCAACAGATAAGACCGAATCGTGGGAGAACGACAGAATGATATCAATGTATTACGCCATGCATCACACAGGCCTAACCATCTCCTGTCGGCCGCAGCATAACACGTGACCCCTTGCAGACTGCCCCCAGGAAGCTCCTCAAGAAGCGCACGAGACCGCACTGATGCCGGCAATACCAGCTGCCCGCAGGCACACATCCAGCAGCCAGTCGAGCCCGCGCCCTGATCCCGCCCCGCCGCCGCCACGCACCTGGTCCAGTGTCTTGCCGGCCACCTCGATGCCGTTCACCTCGAGCACCTCGTCGTTGACGGCCAGCAGCCCCGTGCTCTCCGCCAGACCGCCCGGCACCAGCCGCGAGATGAAGATGCCCGGCACCTGCGCGCGCCGGCCACGGGCGTTAGCGGGCCTGCCAGCGGCGATGCTCGCCAGCGACGCCGCGCGACTTCGCTGATGCGCAGCGGGAAGTGAAGATGTCCAGTGTTTAGCGATGGGTTTACATCGTGACCCTGGACTACTCACAACCCTTAGCCCATGAAAACAGCGTACTGAGGCGCGCAGAGCAAGATTTCTTTTTGTTTAGCACGTTCCATTTGCCAAAGGACAAAGCTACGATGCGTTCCTTGTGCATGTTAGTTCGTTGATTAACGCATACGTGTTATTGAGCTGAGATACGCAAGTGGTATAGCTAGCTGTTCAAACTCAGACTCTGTGTCCACCAGAACCCAGAAATGCGACGCTCCAGATCCCTCAATCTCTCCGACGTAACACAACAGGTGAGCAGTCCCACACAGCGCAACACAACAGAAGGCGTGCACCTCATGAGGGACGGCAGGGACCGTCAAGCCGCGCGAAGCGCCACCCGGTGGCCGCGGCCCGAGGTCAGTCCCGCTGACCGACCTTCTCCAGCCCGGTGGGCGTCACGCGCAGACTGGTGCCGTCCCGGATGTAGAAGCCCAGCGGCTTCTCGGAGCCGTGCTTAAGCAGGCGCACGCGCCGGCAACGCTCCGGCACGATGTCCACGTCGATGATCTGGGCCACCTGTCGGGCACGCACAGAGACGTCAGGTCACAGACTCCGGCACAATGTCCACGTCGATGATCTGGGCCACCTGCCGGACACACACACAGAAGTCAGGTCACGGACTCCGGCACGATGTCCACGTCGATGATCTGGGCCACCTGTCGGACACACACAGAGACGTCAGGTCACAGACTCCGGCACGATGTCCACGTTGATGATCTGGGCCACCTGTCGGACACACACGGACACGTCAGGTCACAGACTCCGGCACAGTGTCCACGTCGATGATCTGTGCCACCTGCCGGACACACACAGAGAAGTCAGGTCACAGACTCCGGCACGATGTCCACGTCGATGATCTGGGCCACCTGTCGGACACACACAGAGATGTCAGGTCAGACTCCAGCACAATGTCCACGTCAATAATCTGGGCCACCTGCCGGACACACACAGAGACGTCAGGTCACAGACTCCGGCACAATGTCCACGTCAATGATCTGGGCCACCTGCCGGGTACACACAGAGACATCAGGTCAGACTCCAGCACAATGTCCTCGTCAATGATCTGGGCCACCTGTCGGACACACACAGACACGTCAGGTCACAGACTCCGGCACAGTGTCCACGTCGATGATCTGTGCCACCTGCCGGACACACACAGAGAAGTCAGGTCACAGACTCCGGCACGATGTCCACGTCGATGATCTGGGCCACCTGCCGGACACACACAGAGACGTCAGGTTACAGACTCCGGCACGATGTCCACGTTGATGATCTGGGCCACCTGTCGGACACACACGGACACGTCAGATCACAGACTCCGGCACAATGTCCACGTCAATGATCTGGGCCACCTGTCGGACACACACAGGTACGTCAGACCACAGACTCCGGCACAATGTCCACGTCGATGATCTGGGCCACCTGTCGGACACACACAGGTAGGTCAGACCACAGACTCCGGCACAATGTCCACGTCGATGATCTGGGCCACCTGTCGGACACGCACAGAGACGTCAGACCACAGACTCCGGCACAATGTTCACGTCGTTGATCTGGGCCACCTGCCGGACACACACAGAGATGTCAGGTCACAGACTCCGACACAATGTTCATGTCGTTGATCTGGGCCACCTGCCGGACACACACAGAGACGTCAAGTCACAGACTTTGGCACGATGTCCACGTCGATGATCTGGGTCACCTGCCGGGTACACACAGAGACATCAGGTCACAGACAACAGCACAATGTCCACGTCGCTGATCTGGGCCACCTGTCGGACACACACAGGGACGTCAGGTCACAGACTACGGCACAATGTTCACGTGGCAGGTGGCCCAGTCGACGATCTGGGCCACCTGCCGGACACAAACAGAGACGTGCAGGGACGTGGACGGACACAGAGATACTTTGGGCCTGTACCCTTTCACAGACTCAGGCCACCACGGGGACATGCCTAATGCCAGGCCATGATGCCTGACGTCATGCGCGACCCCGGCTCTGTGTACACGTCCACCAACCGCGCGCTACGGCAGCGCGGAGCGTACCTGACGGAAGTCCTCCGGGTAGGAGATGGGCGGCTTGGCCTTCGGCGAGCCGATCAGCTGCGGCAAGAACTTGCCCCTCTTCATGGTGGAAGACCCGCTGACGTCCCACATGTTCTCCCCTGAAGAGCGAGTCAACATCAGCAAAAGGGCAGGGCATTTTCTCAACGCTTCAGACCAGTAATACAGAGGAAAAAAGCCACATGGCGCCCACAGTCTAAATTGACGCCATCCAGGACCAGTAATGCAGCCCTTTCAGAACAAAGGGAGCACCACTTTCTACGCGTTGCGCTACAGAATTTCGCACGAAAGCGGGAAAGCAGGCGGCCCGAGCTTGCCAGCTGGTATCAGTCAATTGGTCAGTATTAGAGCCTGTCGGTATCAGAGCTGGTCAAAGTCGGAGCCGGTCAGTATTAGAGCCGGTCAGTATCATAGCAGGTCAGTATCACAGCTGGTCAAAATCAGAGCTGGTCAGTATCATAGGCAGTCAGTATCAGAGCCAGTCAAAATCAGAGCTGGTCAGTACTAGAGCCGGTCAGTATCAGACCAGGTCAAAATAACAGTCGGCCAGTATCATAGCTGGTCAGTATCAGGGCCAGTCAGTATCAGAGTCGGTCAGTATCAGAGCCGTTCAGTATCAGAGTCAGTCAGTATCAGAGCCAGTCAGTATCAGAGTCGGTCAGTCAGTGTCACTCTGGGCGACACCACTGAGGGCTCCAGAGTCGGCAGGCATGTTGCAAAACCGTGAACGGACGACCCCGCGTAAGTGGTGCCCTAATTCGTGTAATGACACCGTCGTCATAACCAGACTGATTACACAGAATGTTGTTGGTCGCACCTTCGTGTTGCAGGACACGGCTACAAGCTTCCGCAGCTCAGGTTTTACTGTGACGGAGCCGAAACACACACGTGCATTTAATGCCCGCGCTGTGTAGTTGGATCTGAACGGTGTCGAACCTTTTCGATAACGTATTCGCCACGGGTCGCACATTTCTGCCGTCGGATCTGAACCCGGACCGCACATTCCCACGGTAAGATCCGAACAAGAACTGTATTTTTCCCAGCGGGACCTGGTCAGGAGCCGTACCTTTTCGCTGCAGGATGATCCTGAGCAGCGGCCGGGCGCACTCCAGCGACTTGGCGAAGTTGTCGTCATTGTTGATGGGCAGCAGGTAGCCGTCCTTGGGGTCGGTGTAGCTGACCGTGAACGGGATGTCCTCCAGGAAGTGGAGCCGCTGCAGCAGCTGGTACAGCTCGTCGAAGCGCTTCATCTTACCCCGCTCTATACTGTAGCGTCGGAACTCTGCGTCGAACTGCCCGAAGGTCGCGAATTAGCACCGACGCCGCCGGCCGAGGCCGTCAGGAGCTGCCTATTTTTGCTGCACTACTTCCCAATCGGGAAATACCTAGCAGAATATGCCTAAAACACCAAGTATCATATCCATGTGGCTTGTTGAGAGATGAGGTGTCCGAAGAATTCACCATCAGATTCTCATCCCCCAGAGAAAGGCCAGATCATGACAATGAACATGCATTAGCCCAGCCGGAGCAAGTATGGGCATATACCATGCTATTAGCACCAGTGACTGCAGTTTGGCCAGGGATGAAACAGTGCATTGGCGAGCTGCCAACTGTCACTGTGACTACTTTTACACTCTTTTACCGTTACTTTTAAGTACTTAACTTTTCCCTTCATGTTTGGTTAGGTGTGAAATTATTTGAAATAGCTTGGAATAATACTCCAAGTTACCTGGCCAAGTGTGAGAGGATAAGCAAGAGTTTTTATTTCTTATCTCAACATTGCATAACTCTGTTGTCTCTGCTGCAGTTTCCAACATTTACAAATAAAAATACAATGGGTATGATGTTTGTTGTGTATGTGCATGTCTGCAGTTGATGCATCATATAAACGTTACTCACATTGCAAACAAAAAGGACCACACACACTACTGTGTTTCCAACAGAACCAGATGGCTGAAACCTTACCTTTGATTTCACCTCTATGAGTGGAGAAAGAGGATGCCCAGACTGCATCTTTTGATAATGTTTAGACATGTTTCACCTGTCAAAGGACAAATTATGAATATGAGGAAAAATGAATGCTACAAAACCAAAGTTAGCAGAGGCTTGAGATCTGTTTCACACCGTGACACAATATAACAACCCAAGAACACTTTGAAGGAAGACATGTGAGGCAGTCTTGCTGTTGGCATCAGCCAGACTGCTGACACATATTCACATTTCTGGAGTTGGACTGCCTGCAAGTGGCCACATACCTGGCTTGATGCTAACCAATTAAAAAAGGCTGGCATCATGACAAACAAAGGCACACATTTGGATACATTAATGCTCTGTGACAATGTATTTGGGATCCTCAGTTGTCTTTACTTCAGTCAAACAGTTATTTCCCTCAAAATAAATATGGGAACTATAGGCAGTTTATATTGCTTCATTTCAATTATTTAAACATGGTTTAATGAAAAATATCTTCACAGCAGCATCAACTTAATGAATGAAATTAAAAACCAACACATGCATTCTCACTGTCTCTGATTCCTCATGTATTACCAAACATTAATATCATGAAAACAAATGGACCAAACCATGGGATTGATAAATACTGAACCCATACTTAATTAATCTTTGGCCATTTTTGCATAGTACCCATGCATTTTTCTTACATGCTATGCCAAATGACCTTATTATCCATAAAAGAGCATAAACAAGGCTTGATATTCTTCACATTCTCACTTATATTTGTGTATTCCTTTTGCAAGATTGAGCCATTCATATGCATATATATGATCTATCTATCTATTATCTATCTATCTATCTGTCTATCTATCTGTCTACCTATCTATCTGTCTACCTATCTATCCATCCATCTATCTATCTATCTGTCTGTCTATCTATCTATCTATCTATCTATCTATCTATCTATCTGTCATGTCACCAGTGTGTTTTTATACCTAGCTGCATGTCCTAACAGTACGTCTGGCGTATAGCGGGCTATGACTTATATCATGAGTATACGGCTGAATTTTGATGTGCAGTGACACAGTATCAGTTCAATGTCATTACTTACAAACATGCTTACAGAAAATGGATAGACTGGTTTAGCTAAGCCTTACAGTATATGAATGACAGATGGATACAGAAAATTTAACTTCCATTCTAATAACAACCTGAAATCAAGAGGGTAGTCCAGTCCAGCCTCTTCACATTCTGCTTGTATTAATTCCAGTCATGTGCATTTTTCAACCAAGCATGCACATTATGGAATTTAGCATGTAGAGCATTCATTTGAGAATTTGAAGACACAAAAAGTAGTAGAACGCTTTTGATCTAGTTTTGTCCTGCATTATTACCATGCCAGCAATTATACCAGCCTCACTTTTTATTGTCCACACATGTGTATTTGAAATGCAGCCAGCATGTTTTTCATCCACTTACCTTAATCATAAACAAACATAGTTCCTAATCTATATGACAAGGCATGCTACCAGGTGATGATCAAGGTCAGAGGACAAAGAGCAGAAATGACAGAACAACATATTTGATACATTCAGAATTTATTATGGTTTTAAAAGTGTCACCTACCATATGAATATATTAGCTTTCTGGTAAACCAAGATTAGATAACTTTTAATACTCCTTATCCTTTCAACATTTTCAGTATCCCTACTGGATGCAGACTGGCTAGGTATACACCAATCCTTATTACACAACTAACATCTTAATATATTTAGCAGAGCGGCAGGCACAGCAAGATGTCCATGTTTTCATCCTCATGATTAACCCAGGCTGATATGCGGGCACATAGCAACCTAAGAGAAGCAGGTTGCAATGTGGTGGTTACCAGCGACAATAATGGTGAGACGCACACACCAAAAGCGGCCAAATACTTCTCACGATCAATGGTTGTTAAGTGATTCTCATTTGGAACCATAGTACGTACCCTTTCCAGTTGTTGCTACCTAAAAATCAACTATACCTCGCCTTCAGCAGCCCAAGTGCTCCGCCCGCGATACTTAGCCAGCACTCCGACTGTTATCGCTATGACACATAAACCGCGAAGGGGAGCAGATACGATTATGGCGTGACAGTTCCAAAAAATGGCCCGAAGGCCTCGTTTAAAGTACTGCCCTGGTGCTGAAAGTATCACAAACTTAAAACTCTGTTTGGTATTTATGGATGATCTAGATAAGCAAGTTGAATGCCAAAGCAAAACTATTCATTCTCATGAAGTGTGCATATGTGCATGTATTATAGGTTTTGAGCTAGACTGCATGTCGAGTGTGCCCTACTTGAAAGATAGTGATATCCCCAATTCTAGCGAACGAGGGAGATATTGTCCAAACCAGAGCAACCTAATTTCGCAGCAAATCAGACTTGAATTCGCACTTTCTTACAATATGAAGAAGATGTGACCTTGGACAAAGTCTCATAGCCGCGGCCCCAGAGCTCATTGTGTTGACATTTGATAATGCGTGATACCTAGCACGAAACTACAGAAAAAAATACGGAAGTACCGCGCTTCTGCGTATGCTGGACATATCAGACACCTTGTCGAATTTCGGAACTTCCATGAATGACTTTTGTGGTATCCACACAGCTTTCCACAGCAATGAAGATCTCTTTGTTTGTATTTGTCGGCCTAATGAGGAATTCACCAGATAAAAATTCACCGAAGTTGTTTTCCGTGTGACCTTTCAACAGAGATGATATATTTTCGGATGCCATTTTTTCTCTGAAAGGCGTGAGGAATTACTCAGAGCATGCACTGTTGAAAAGGATCTTGGTGGCATTCCAGCACCGACGGCACACCCGTTCTGTTTCCTCACACAAGTCCACTAACCATTCTCTTTCGAAGTGCTCCTGGTTTCAAACTTCCAAAACATACGATATGGCCTCATCCTGTAGTCACGGGTAAGATCGATGCTTGAGCTTTGCTGCGCAAAGTGGCGTATGGAATTGCTAAACAGATGTCAGTATCCCATATAAATCGTCAGGCTTCCCACTTCCCACGTGAAGTCTGCTTCATAGACTGAGGCCATTTAGCCTGAAATGCGTTCATACTCGGGGTGCCGCGCTTGAGTTGTCATGTGGAGGTGTGTTGGATAAGGCAGGCCAGGTGTGTTTCGACTGATGGCAGTGGGCTTGATTGGGTTTGGTTAGTCCAAGCTTGTTTTAGCTTTGTGTATGGTAAGGCTATTAGTATATCTCTGCAATCGGCACGTCCGTAAAGTTAGCGATACCAACATGCTCACTTCCTGTTTGGCCAGCATTACTGCTCTCCCTTCCATTCACACCCATTCATCCACTCAACAAGCTAGACCGTTGCCTAGCGACGTTACCGATGGGCGCGCACTCATGTGGCCGTACGATGAAACGGTGACGTGGGCTGCGCAGGATGTGGGTATTGCGTGCGCTGGTTCTTAAGCTTGCTGTGGCCGGGTGACCAGAGTAAGCATATCTGTTCATCACGCTGGTAAAAATGATCAGAAAGGCAACATGGTCAACATGGCAAGGCTGCCGGAGCTGGTATCTTTCAACTATGCAAATTTCATAATTGCTTTAATTTCCATAGCAGTTGATGTAGTCGCTAGCACACCTGCCATACGACACAATCCATCCACGGTCATGCGTCATAACACGCTTCGAAGCGATTCAATTGTGACTCAGAGCCGGGATATCCAGCTGGGGTGTGAGCTGGGCTTTCCCCACTATCTTGTGGTTAAAATATTACAAAACGCAGGGTTGAGTTGAGACTAACACAAAGACTCTCCTTTACGCATTTTTTGCTAGCCATAACTACTACGATCTTTGAAGTGGGAACTATTTGAGAATCGATGCGAAAAATGAAGAAAAAATTGTCGTCCGTCACTACAAAGTGGGTTAAAGCTCTAACAAAACACACATTTGGCAGGAGCTAAGCCCTAGAACCCGTTACTTGCTGTCTAATCATTTACAAAAGTAACGCCTCCGATTCAGAGCAGCCAAACATGACACGGCTTCAGTTTCATGTCTCTGAGACTTTGCTAGAATGTAACTGCACCTTATCTATGTGTGTGCAAACATAAGGTTGACGCAGGAGTGGAGACCAGCTGAAATCGAAATCGAGCACACAGTGGCTACGGCGATTGTTCTGCCGTCCAAAGGCAAACCCAGGGGGTTAGCATCGCAGCTTGAGAAATTGGTCGGGCTGGCGGCTCGTTAACGTTAGGCGGTGACGTCAAAAAGTCGCACCGGCTTGCGCGGCGGCGTTGCATGGCAACGCCGACTGCGTCAATTGGAAAACAGTAGTCACGCAGAAATGTTGCGGTCTCATTTACTATCGTGCAGTGTGATATCAAGTATGTGTTGTTGCATGGCCTCGGTGCGTGCTATTATGTCGCGGATGCACCAGCAAACCTTGGGCAAACCGACCTAAGAGCTTTCGTGAAATCACAAATGATTAGGCACGTGGTAATGTTGCGAAAACACTTCTTGAGAAATACAGCGGCCTGTTCTGATACACCTGAAGAACTCCCATGGGTGCCAATGCTATTTATACAACTTTTGCGCACCTCACATATGGTGCAAAAATAGGTTACTGTCCTATATTGCTAGCATGAAAGGGCAGCTATTACCCCGCCGGCCCTCCGCTTTTGATGAAGCATTCAGGACACCTAGTCAAGTGTTTGACATGACGGGTTACCGCTAAATGGTCCGCTGCGACACAAATGTCACCTAACGCTTGTCAATAGCATAGGACTGAACCAGTAGACTTCTTTGGTCACTCCCATTGCCACGTTTGGCGGATTCGAATTAACGAATCCGTCAGTGAAACGTCTGACATGTTGGTTGAACGGGCTGCTAAGGACGGTTTTTCATGAATGTTGAAACAGGGAAGCCGACGGGCCGCCCCCCCCCCCACCCCCCCCCCGGGGGGGGGGGGGGGGCTGTAAAACTCAGGATGAGTTTTCGTGAAAGTTTTTGACCCAAGCTACGACGACGCATGAAGGTGTTGTCACGGCAATAATCTTTCAGCCTCTGCGACCGCCTTATCTCATGTTACTACGTCTCTGGCTGCCCCAGAACCTTCTGATATGCATTATCGGCCTGCGTTTTAGTGCTGCGCAAACCGGCGCCAGGTTGTCGATTCATGCAACAACTTCGCTCAATTCGTCGCAATGCAATGTGTTTGTGCTCGTTCCTTTTGTGGCGCGCTGGTGAACTGTGACAGCGTTTTCCTTTTGAAATGCACGTGCCATTGTACGAAGTTATAAAAAATGCGTGGTATACGCTTCATACGACAGCTGTTTATCTCGCGTTCTAGCGTGTCAAAAACGCCGATTCGATCATCGATTAACCGTCTCTTTCTCTGCTTTTTCTTTCCCATCAAGCGGTAGTTATGGAATAGTCATGCCACGCTCAAAGCGTGCATGCCTGACCATGATTTCGGAGACCGCAAAGCTGCATAAATAAAATAACTTGTTTTATCGACGTCAGTCGCCGTCTGTTGTGCAGGTCAATGACCTACGTTACGACGAACGTGATGGCCAATGACTTGTAATGGGTCACAGTCGGGCGAGGCCACGGTTACCATTAAAAACAATTATGAAGGCAGGCTTCAAGAGGTATTGCGACAAAGGAGTTTTGGACGAAATCATGTAACTTTCCGGTACTTATTAGACAAGCAGGTTAACTGAAAATAATTCCATTAACCTCGGGCAATTATGAAAGTCAGACAAAGACCAAAATCAAGGAAGTTATTGACGAGAACGCTTTCTTGATGGGCCAGTTTTTGACGCTCGCTGCTCATTTCTTTGTCTAAAATGTCTTAACGTATGTCTTATGCTGGCTTTCTGAAAGTCCTAGCAGGCCAATAACCTAAACTGACGCTGATGATCATTTTTCGTGGAAAACTTGTCCGATATGCGGACCCTAATTTTGACGCTAATTTTGAAGTGGAACAACGTAATGGTCTTTGTTTTGTCATTTTGATCTTCTATATCTCAGAAAACGTGACTTATCTGAAATGCTTCGTAATGCATAATTTTGCTTGAAAAATGGTCTGAAAAACTTCAGACAACTGCATATTCGACTAATAAAATGCAAAATTGGCATACAAATAAGCATCAGTACTAAGTCATGACAAAATGCTACTGATGTCACTCAGTGATAACAATATATTCCTGATACCCACAAGCGAAATTAAATATTCCGGATACCCAAAATAACTCCGTTGTCCGTTACACAAACATTATTTAATACACTTTCAGACTAGCAAAAGTTTTGCGCAGATAAAAACAAATATAGCATACATTCAGGCAAATGAGCTTGCTTATCCTTATTCGACCAGAAGGTCATAACCTAGAGATATTGAAATTTTACACAAGCGATTTCACGTATGCCCTTACTACCCTGCACTTAGATGCCTCCAACTTGATACATTTTTTAGATCACCGGGGTTGGTTCAAATCGACTCCCAATGCGAGCGCGTCGCATCCGACTGGCCGGCTGTGACAGTTTGACATCACTACGCAACCTTTCACGCTCGAACAATAAAGTTTGCTCAATCCAAAGCACGCTGCCAATTTAATCTTGATTGTTTTAATGTTTTCGAATTTCTAACAAATTCAATCAGCCTTAGACAATTTCTACAGTTTTTAATTGTTAGATTTACCATTTTGATATGAATATAATGTCACCGGTGCAATATCGACGAAATCTCTTAAAATTACCCGATAAGTGTTACTTTACTTCCCTGAAAGTGAATGGCAAGACTTAATGGCAAAATCGATTTTAGTTCGCCCACTACTTGAAATGTGTCGGCCGGTAGGTTTCATTTCCCGACATGTTCGCTGGACTGTACAAAATCGGATGGTTTCCTAGCCCTGGATTGCCATTCTCGCCGATGCTGTCTGTTAATAGCAGAGGCAGAAATAGGTTCGTACTTAGACTACATTTATCATAAACTGACCTTCGCGCGCCGCGCGTTACGCGACTAGCTAAACTGCGCTCGTATTGTTACCAAATCATACTTTGGAACGGTCTCCAGACGTCTCT